GCCCCGCGGCCCCCCCCCCCCCCCCCCCCCCCCCCCCCCCCCCCCCGCCCCCCCCCCCCCCCCCCCCCCCCCCCCCCCCCCCCCCCCCCCCCCCCCCCCGGGACAGCAGCGCCTCGGCGGATGATGCGGCACCAGTATTGTTCGGCACCGCGGCGGTGGGCGGCCGGCATCGCCAAGTACGCCGGAACGTAAATATCCAGCAACGTCTAATCATCGTGCCATTTGGCAAATAGGCTACAGGCTTTCGATACAGTTCGCCAGCATCGTAAGTAGTGCGAGAATGGCATCACAGGGTAGCAAAACGTTTTCCCCCAAACCGCAGACTAATTACTCCATAATCTATATATTACTGCCATACCAACACACAAATAAGGAGGGGGAAACGTGAACACAGGGCTAACCAAGAGAGTAACATGCTATGATAGTCATATAGTTGTAGTCAACTTAGCAAGAAGAGGCTTAGTTAGGTAAGGGAAGGCAGGTTTCTCGAGGCATCGCTCGCCGACATTTTGCGCTCCAGAGGTTTCTCGGTCATCCTGGAAGTACTTATGTACCAGCACAACCAAATCTACATCCTCATACACTCCCCCCCCATCAAGCCGCATCGATTTTGCATATTGCAGACCTTGTAGTCCAGATTTAAAATCCGTTCGTTAAATCGTCGACCTAGCCCGCGCGACGCCCAGCGCCTCTCACAGAAGTCGGCCGCATCGGCGTCGGCCGTACTGCCGATACTGCTAAAACTGCCGATACTCTGGCGGTACTGACGGTACTGAGGGTACTGACAAGACTGACGAGACTGACGAGACTGACGAGACTGACGAGACTGACGAGACTGACGAGACTGACGAGACTGACGAGACTGACGATACCGCCGATACTGCCGGTAGTGACGGTAGTGACGGTAGTGACGATACTGACGGTACTGGCGGCATTGACCGACCCGAAATCATCACCGTACACACAGGCAAGCCGGCAAGCAAACAGGGCTGGGAGAATGCCGAGAGCCAGCCAGACAAGAAGGGGCCAACATTACGACCAGGTTCGTCAACCGCTGCTGCTCCTGTCTCGCCAACAGGTCCTGCGGGCGGTTAGGGCTCCAGAGACTTGGACCGCAGCGCCGCATGCTGGTGTCATCATCGACAGGAACCTCCAAGGTCACGTAAAGCGGAACCGGCCCCATCGTCCAAGCGGGTGATGCTGACGTCCCCCAGCCCGGCCACGCCGAATGGGTCCGACTCGCCATCTACGCGGGTCTGCGCCAGCAAGCGTCGACGGAGGCGGTGCGCGTCATTCCCGCGGCGGCGGTGGTGGTGATCTTGATCCAGCCTTCGTCTGGGTTTCTGGTGGAGGGGTTGCGTTGCCTAACGCCAAAACACCGAATATCTATCTCATTAGGCCTGTACACTCTTAGAAATCCCCCCCTTCATCTCTTACCCCTCATATCTCTCTCATTGCCTCCCTCACAGTCCTCCCAGTCTCAGCAGCAACATCAAGCCCCTTCCGCCACGTATAAAGCAGGATACATACCAAATAAGCAGGCGTATGGGGCGGCTAGGGCAAGGGTGTGCATGGCAATTATTTCTTCAAAACTGAGGTTGGGGAAATGGGGCTATGTCACCCCAGTGTACTGTACAGAAAGAGCCGTATCACTCTTGACTCAAAGTGTAATCAGCCCCAACATCAACCAGCTTGGTCCACACAGAGTCCTCCTTCGCCATGGGCCCAGGATCAGGTCACCCTTCCCAGGACCCTCAGACGTATGTACTGGTAAGGCTGCAGACAAATATGCGCTTCTGCAGCTACTGGTTGCCTTCTTCTCCTATGAAGGACTTATTTAGATCTAGGCAGCCTTCTATGGTCATTGTTATCTCGTTCGTTTTCCAGCAGCAGTTCCAGGCCAGTGAGGCTCTTGAGGTGATTCCCGGTCAAAGTTTCTATATCCTGCGGGTTTATATGTAGAAGCCGACAGGGGACGATCGAAAAGGGTAAGGATCCCGTGATTGGTACCAGGAGGATTTGGAGGACTGTTCCGCCAAAAGGGTGAGCAGAAAGCCGAGCCAAGCGGATGAAGGCCTTCTTTAAGATAGCAGCCCAAATCTAGCCCGAGGTGACCCCACCTGTGATCATGATTACCCACATGACTGATCACCTGAGATTAGGCAGCGGTGAGCGAGGTCCTTGGGCCTCAATGGCTGCAGCCCAACGAACCTGAAACTTCTTTCCCTTCATGTTTGTTTATTTGGTTTATGCAGGACTGACCTTTGTATCGCCGTCAACGTTCAATCTTCTGCACCTTGGCCATATCTGAGCTTCTAAGTTCTCTATAGGTTTTCATCCCCTTAACTACTTGCCTGCCATCATGTACAGCCTTTGTCAGATTTGCAAGCAGATATTTGACTCTCCTCCTTTCACAACCCGAAAGGAGAGGAAGCACCATCAAACTCTTGCTGAGCTTCAGCGTTCTGTTGGCAGCCAGTGCTTCATCTGCAGTGCCTTATGGGACAACATACTAAGCTGCCGCCCACCTGGCGAGGCAGAGAATCGTGCCAGTTCGAATGACGAAGATCAAACACAGTACCCAGTATTAGAGTACACGATGGAGAAGGTCCGCCAGTCGCCGGAGTTGCTGCAGTTAAGTGTGTCCGTCAAGAAGAAAGGCCTTAAATTCCATAGCGGGGTGCGTGTTTTTGGACTGCAGCCTTTAAAAGGTACTTATTCCTGCTTCAAGTTAACTCCACCTACAGGTTCACTAGAGGTTTAGTCCCTAATAACATGAATATAGAGAGTGGGCATGACCGATACCAAGATGGTCATACCACTTCAGTGCACTCCCCGTTCAGTATGAGCGTGGCTCAGGGATGGCTCAAGAACTGCCTGGATCGTCATGAGCGGTGTCGGGCGGTTCTTTCGGGGTCGACCAGGAGACAAACCCCCACTCGATTGTTGGAGGTTGATCAACCAAGCTTCGCCGAAACCCGCCTGGTAGAAACCACAGCGGCACTGGGAACTGACGTAAAATACGTGACCCTGAGCCATTGCTGGGGCCAGTCACGCGGGTTGGGGCTCATATCAGGGTCAAAACAGCGCCTCCAAACCGGTGTTCCAATTTCTGACCCGGGTCCAACTTTTCGACATGCGGTCGAAGTCGCTCGCTCAGTAGGCGTGCTGTACATCTGGATAGACGCTTTATGTGTCATCCAAGATTCGAAAGAGGACTGGCTGCGCGAGGCACCCCGCATGATGGAAGTTTACGGCGCCGCTCTTTTCAACATCGCGGCAACCTCGGCAGCTGACACCGACGCCGGATGTTACCCTCGAAACGACCCGCGCTCAGTTAAACCTTTCGTCGTTACGCTTCAAGGGACGGATTTTCCTGATGCCCGGTATATTCTCTACGACCGCCAGTATCGACGAGCTGCCTTCAAAAATATGCCGCTATTAAGGCGGGGTTGGGTCGTGCAGGAGCTCTTGCTGGGTCCTCGAGTACTACATTTCTGCGCGACAGAGATGTTTTGGGAGTGTTCCGAGTTGATCGCGTCCGAAACATACCAGTCAGGCTTGCCACTGAGCATGGACGACCCCTGGATACCGAGAGAGTTTGCTTGGAAGGCTTTCAGGAGCTTGCCTGGTCGCTCAGATGATGCGTCTCACGTACGTGAGCGACAAGCTGGTTGCATTATCTGGAATCGCCAAACTTATTCAGCAAGCTTTCGAAGTCAATTACTGCGCAGGGCTCTGGAATCAGGACCTCGAAGACCAACTGATCTGGACCGGCCGCACTTCGGAACGACGATATCCACCACCCACATACCGGGCACCAACATGGTCCTGGGCTAGTGTGGACGGCGGCATTGGATTAAGTGAGTTTCGAAAGGAAGGCAGCAGGTGGAAGCGGGTCGTCGTCATCCGGGACTGTCACATCGAGACACAGACAGAAGACAACACGGTTGACATCCTCAATGGTTTCCTCCGTCTGTCAGGTTGGCTAATAACGATGCGGATGCGCAAGGAGCCTGGACGAGAGGATCACTGGGAAGTTTTTGTCAATGGCGCCTGGCAGAAAAACAGACCCCCGTGGGTTATTCTTGACGGCGAAATTCCGACAGATCAAGTTCATGCCCTACCCGTCGTGGTAGACACTCAGGACAATCAGCCCGCCACCATTGTGTTCCTCTTACTGCACACTACCGGAAACGCGGAGGGTCGGTTCTACAGAATAGGAGTGATGTATGGGTCCTTGGAAAACTTGGGAATCACTGGTTAAGATTACACTGCACTTGAGAAGGTTCGGAATGAGCCGTGGCTCGAATATGAGACTTGTGACGGCGTGGGCATCTATAGCGTTGTGGTTGTATAGCAACACCTTGGCAGGTAGTAAAACAGCGCATATATGGTATATGCCGGAGCCAGTGGTGGTGAAGACGATCAGGGATTTGACTTCGAGTACGTAGAAGTTTATAAGCAGGTTGAAGTATGGGTGAGTCTGTTACTCATAAACTGTCAGAGCTTGGCGATCTGCACTGTTAGACAGATATACCACGAGGTAGTCAATTCTGGATTTAGAACTATAAGGCTTGCTAGGCATGCTAAAGCTGCTGTTGTCCTTGCAGTCATCCTCTCTGTGCTCACCTTCCTACACACTGAGATGATATTTGCTCTAGTAGTTTGATGACTGCTTCGTGCCCTCTCGTTCTGGCATAGTCCACTGGCATTTGGCTGCTGTCATCCATTTTCTAAGCCTTGGCACCATAATTGAGAAATAGTCTCACTGCTGCCTCATCTCCCTCCTCGGCGACCAAGGACAGCGGTGTCTGGCCATGCTCAGGACTCACATCCACGTCGGCGCCATTCTCCAGAAGCATCTTCATGAGATCCACGTTTACCCGGTTGGCCGCTGCCCACCATAGCGCCGTTCGTCCTTGGCGATCCGTTCAGTAGTCTTAAACTCGGAAAACGAGCCGCGTGGATGCCCAACCCACGCTATTGGGGCTCTATGACGACTATATCTGCCAGTAGACTTAGAGTTGATATCAACTCTGCCTGTGTTCAGTAGTAGCTCCACCACAGTTTTATGGCCCCCTCCGGCGGCCCATGATAGTGGAGTTCGACCTGGGCAGAATGGCCCGGTGGCCTTCGAGTCAGGGTCAACCCTGCCCGTGCCAAGAAGCCGCTGAACGATTTCGTCATGACCCATCCCAGCAGCAAATGATAGTGGCGTTCGACCTGCGCCGTACGCACCAGTAGCTTTCGAGTCAGCATCGACGTTGCCAGTCTTCAATATGATATCCACAACTGATATATGGCCATTCTCGGAAGCGAGCGATAGTGCGGTTTCCGAGAATTGATCCTTCGAATCCGCAAAGACCTTACGAGTCTCGAGTAGTAGCTTCACAATTCCTTCATGGCCATTTTCAGCAGCTCATAACAATGGTGTCCGGGATTTCTCGGGGGTTCCGATAGGGCACTCGTCGAAAAGAAACCGGGCAACGGCTAAATATAATTTGAATAAGCGCCAAAGTTCATTTGCGATGTAGATATGGCGGCATCCTACCTAGCCAGGGGTCATCGGTTTCCGAATTGGGATTCACATATCGTACAGACAGGAACAACTCCACCAGTTTTTCAAGGCCATTTATGGCAGCCCAAGCCAAGGGCGTTAGCCCCTCTCCGTCTCTCGAGTCGGCATCAACTCCAGTAGCTCCGAGAAACAGCTTCGCAACTTCCGTATGCCCGCTTCGTGCGGCCGATGCTAGTGGCGTTTGCCCGTCCTTGTCCTCGGGGTCGGCATGGGCCTTACCCATCTCAAGTAACAGCTTTGCGAGCTCTCTTTGTCACCTAGAGTTGTAGAAGGGATGTGTCACGGTTATGTCGTCCTCGCAGGATTTCATCTCGGAGAGCAACTGCTGCACCATGAATGCGGCGCTGAAGTTCCATCATTGTGACGCCATCCTTCAGAAGCCGCGCAACTTGGGCCCCCGTTATCTCAGTCTCCTATGTCTGCTGCGTGTCTTGCGTGTCCTGCTCATTTGGTGATATCTCCAGTTTGTAGTACTTATGGTTATAGTGCTGCGTCTTCCACCAGCACCTACTGTCTTCTACCAAAGCCTGCCGTTGTCCACAGATCTCAGGTCTCCTCAGGTTAGGTCGCAGCTGCAGCCCCTAAATCGTCCCTTGGTTTAGCACTTAGACAGCTCTCATAAGCAGCATTCGTCTTATGACATGAGCTGCTATCTACCCATAACGTTTGCTAGTTTATGATATGGAACTTTTACATAGCCCATGCCTCGACGCACGACAGTAGAGGTACCTTTAAATATGATACAGCAAGTTACTTTGCGAGCCAATGAGTTGGTATTGCCAAGTTATCCCTGTATTTCACTTTTGGTTTTCTAGACGCGCAAGGGTTTAACAGGAGAGATCTGCATTAGCCTTATAGTACGGATAGATATAACGGTGTATGGATATGGATACTGTGTATAATACTGTACAAATATGTATGTACATACAAGGGCGATAAACAAGCAGAATCTATTGGCGAGATCTGATGGTGGCGTCTGGAGGGCTTAGACAGGCGGAACCGTAGTTGCAGTTTGTAGTACAGGCATGTCTCGCTAAGTACCCAATCATAGGAAAAGGTGTCTATGTTTACTGCTAGGCACGCTAGGGCTGTTTAAGTAGCTTTCATTGGCTATTCTCGCCAAAATCGCTGTTCTCGCCAAAATCGCTATTCTCGCTGTCCAACCCCCGTCCTCCCCCCGTCGTGGCCCCCCCCCCCCCCCAACACCCTCCCCTACTCCCCGCTCCCCCACTCCCCCAACCTCCCAACCTCCCAAATCGCTGTTCTTGCTGTTCCCCCCCAAAATCACTGTTCTCTCTCAAGTCAAGCCATCTCGGATTCCCTGTCTCATCAATGTCAGCTCCCCAGTGGATCTAGACGAAATCTTATTCGGCAGTAGCGATTGCAAGGCATTAACGAAGCAAGTCGAGGAAATAATTAGAGAAGACTGTGGGAAATAATATTTTTGTAAAAGGCTGGTGGAAGGCAAAAAAACGCTTAACCGAAATGAGACACTTAATGGTCATGACGCATAGAAATGTGCCTCTTTTAAGAAGGCTGTTGTCGAAGACAGAGAATTTGCAGAGGAAGTGAAGAAGCTCTCCGTAGAGGAGGTTTAGCTTGTGCCTATTGCATCTCTGCAAAATGCTTCTTGCAATATATATATTGACGAGGCTCTTTCTAAGGCATGAATGGGTAGGTATGCTGTGTAGTTTATTAGGTTGGTTAGGGGGCAGTGGTTTTGGTGGAGGATGGTAAATTTTGGAAGAGGATGATAGGTTTTGGTGAAGGACAGTAGGTTTTGGAGGAGGACGGTAGGTTTTGGTGGAGGACAGTAGGTTTTGGAGGAGGACGGCAGGTTTTGGCAGGGGACGGTAGGTTTGGGCGGAGGACGGCAGGTTTGGGCGGAGGACGGTAGCTTTGGGCGGAGGACGGTAGCTTTGGGCGGAGGACGGTTGCTTTAACAGCACCTACCGTTTTCCACAGCTCTTAATTGGCTCTCCAAGTCAAGTCACAGCTGCAGCCTTTGAATCGTCCCTTAGTTTGGCGCTTCCACAACCCTTATCGCCGTCTCTTGCTTAACTGACAGCATTCGGCTCGCCACGTGAGCCGCTATCTACACATAACGCTGGGTTTATGGTATGGTACTTCTGGGTGGCCCTTGTCTCAACGCAGGCTTGTAGAGGCACTCTCCCCGAGTCGAGATCCTGCTCTACTAGTACTGCGTATGGCAGGTTGCTTCAACAAGCGAGTGGCTTATACGTGTGCAGGGATTCCCATCATCTAGCCCTTCTCATCCGCCCCGCACTTTTGACTCTCGTCATTCAGACCCACGTTTTTGCATGTAAATAATCCCGGCCGGAGGCCAGGAATTTTATCTCTCATCTCACCATTTGGTCCTGTGCTTTTTCCCTGGCCTTTTGCCCTCACACTTTGCCCTCCCACCTTCCCATCCCACCATTGTCATCCCTTTCCCCTATCGCGCTATTGTCATCAATTTCTTGTCTGCGCTGCCTATCTGCCCATACAGATCAACTCAATGGCACCTGCGGAACAAGTTCCTGGCTTTGATGAGCAAAAAGCCATCCCCTACCAGCCAAGTGTTGCCCTTGACTGGGACACGGCCGCACATGACGCTGAAGTCATAACTTCTTGGATTATAGGCCCTATCAAACAGAAACTTGAAAGAAGAACAGTGCTACGGCATCAGATGTACGATAAATCGGTTGGCCTTGTGGTTGAATGGCTACGTCAAGCAAAAATCTCCTTTCCCGCCGCAGCCTCCATAATTCGCTACCTTCAGCCACCTGACTTGAAGCTATTGGGGAACTACGATATGGTATCTGCCGTCTCTTGTATATGCGACAACGACGAGGTTTCCTATCAAGATTGGCACCGGTTCTACCGAGGGCTTGCGAACAAAAATCATCCATATGCTGATGACTTTCTACTGGGTATGGCTGGCCCCAGATGTCTCATGCAATCGGTCCCTAATAATACGACGGATGTAGTAATTTGGAGGTCGGGCGGCTTTGACAGAGCAGTCGGGCGCCTTAACCAGCGCCGCGATCCGCGTCACAACGAACCGCAAAATGAAATAGAAACGACTGGGCCGCCCGCGAAAAGACACCAGGCGGAAACCTCCCCAGCCGATGTGACGACCACGGACCAGCAACTCCGGCACATGAGTGGGATAGGGCAAGGCAGTCGTCAATTATGGGGGCGTTACGACCTTGTCTACGAATCTGGTCAGTATTCCCGAGAGCGCCATGCAGCGGCACAACTAACAGACAAAAGCAGCGTCGAACGGACCCAAGTTTGACGATACACACTTCCTTCAGTCGTCCACTCACTTGCTGCCCACGCGCCTGCAACAACCTTTGTGCGATCCATGGGCATGACAGAACGCAAAGTACTTCAGCAAGTAGGCAACAAGCTTGTCAATGCAAGAACAGAGACTGATGCAACATACCCAGATAATCCTGCATTCTTGCCAAGGTCATCACCACCCGCCCCTCCAGGTCCGCCGGGAACGGTATGGTCCCCTTCAGCCCCACACTCCGGGTTCGGCATCGAATTTGAACAGGGGGCCAAAGCCTCGTTGGAGAACCCACCGATCTCTGCCGACCAGAACCACCCACAAGCGCCAGGTTGTTCTACGCTGACCCTTGCTCCCTTGGACAAGCTGCAGGAGATTCTGGATAAAACTCCCACCATTCTCAGCATAATCAGCCGACAGAGTGTGTCGGTCCAGGGACGTCTCTACAGTCCAGCCATCATTGCCCCTGTACATACCGACTTCAGCTTCCATTTGGAGATTGCGTTGGATCATGGTCTCGGCATCGAAGGCATTCCGCCACAAGAATGGCAAGAATTGCAGACTGCCTTGGGGGTTACAGAGGAAGAGATCATGGTTAGGAGTAAGATTGTGATTACTGGAGTTTCGCAAAACATGCTATATTAGATATTTTCTGAATAATAATAATGGCTTCCAGGATCACAATCATCATCTTCATATCTAGAGGGTGTTCGGAATGTAAGATGGTCAGAAATGGAGGATGTTCAGAAATGTGGGCTGGATGGAATGTAGGCTTGAAGGAAATATACCAGCTCCGCTAGAAACTGTGATTGGATAACTAAGTACGGATCCGTACACCGGTTTCGTAATCGCGTTACCCCCGAGCCCGATTGACCTGGTTGTGGACCTTCCTGCAGGGCAGGACCGTACTAATTACTAGTGGAATTCCCAATCAGGTACAGCGTTAACGCCAATCACAAGATCAGCGCTTTCAGCCCTAGACTAGCCCTCGGCTCTGAGCGTGGATTGGGTGGGATTCAATTGATCTGGGCCGCGATCTGCAATAGTGTCGCTCGACACCACTGCCCTCAGCCAGGATGCGGGATATTCGACAAGGCTGGCTCTGACAAGCACACCTTACGTGTCTATCCGATTTGTTATGTGCGGGTCGCTAATTTTGTCAATGTGCTAGGCAGTGCCGCAGGATTTGCCACGCTCTGCCGTCATTTACGCGGGGCAGGATATGCTGAGGCTTGAGACGCACAATCGCTAGCCGCGCAGCCGGGCACTGGGAGGAGCCTAGCACGCCCGACGAGTGTGGAGTAGGTATGTACACTAGATTTCGGCCATTTCTACACGTAGACTGTGCATGCAATCCCATGCAGGAAACTTTTGCGTTTGACCAATCCTATGGAGGAAACTTTTTGCCTTTGACTAATCCCATGCAGGAAACTTTTGCGTTTGACCAATCCTATGCAGGAAACTTTTGCGTTTGCCCAACCTTATGCAAGAAAATTTCGCAGTTCTGACCAATTAGAGCCAGAAAAAGCGGAGAAAGCCACAACGTAGGCAGCAATGTAAGGTAGTAGCAATGTTACGGCTCCACATTGGGAATGCTTCCGAAGCTCTGCGGCTATATGGCTATAAAACCGTCAAAGACCTGATAGCTACGCCTTTGTCGCCTCTCTACGCTTTCCAGCCAACAGCCCACCATTTGGCACTCCTGAAGGAGGCTACAGATCAATTGAACGCCCCACTTCGCTAAGTCTCTTGCTACATTCAGACCACCTGCGAGACCCGCATCTAAAGAGAAACTGCGGAAACATGGAGCATATTGATCCCAGCTGCGGAATGGAGCCTTATTCCCAGGTTGGAGGAGTGACTGTGAGTTACTCTCAATCACCATGTGAGGATATCTTCACTGACGAGATTGTCAAGGACACGTTTGGCCCCATACAAGTTCCATTGGGTTCCACAGTGCCAAGTCTGTCTGAAGAGATCCCAAGAAACTACGACCTTCCACCGTTTGCGTCCGGCGTTACTCTCGCCTACCAAGCCGACGCTACTGAGACTGCGGCTTCTGAATTGCTGCTACCGTCCCCAGTTCCTCGTACTGGGCCACGATTCGAGTCTTACACAGACGATATATGGGAAGTGCACAAGCCACGGATTCGAGAGTTATATATCGAGAAGAACAAGAAATTGCGGGAAGTCATGCAGCACATGACAGAGGAAAAAGGATTTAAGCCGTCGTGAGTTCCCCTACCCTCTCGATCAGCGAGGTAAAGAGATGTTAGATGCTGCAAGAATCAGTGCTGATAGAACGCCAGGATGAGCATGTATAAGACCCGCCTCGTAGCTTGGGGTTTCTTCAAGAACAACCGGGAGAAAGACGTGACGGCGCTGCTCCGCCTCAAGCAAACCCGCGATGTGGCTGGAAAATCGTCCGTCATCTTTCGGGCTGGGAAACCTGTCAATGAACACCAGATCCTGAACTACTTGAGGCGGAAGAGGATGAACCCTCAGGACCTCGTATCAGGAGAAGAGAACGACGACCAAATCCCGATTAGCGACCACATCTGCGTCCGAACACCGTCTCCAACCCTTTCAGCTCACTTGTCACTCCCCTCTGGGAATATCCGAGACGGAGAGGCGATGCTCCTCAGCGTCAAGTATTGGTATACTGTCTGGATAGGCGAAACATGTCGCCTTCGAGACGGATCTATTCCAGACCATTTCCAGCTGGCCGAGGTTGGAGGATCAAACATTGTCGACTGCGTCTCTCTTCTGCTTCGGCTAGGCTGCAGACTGTTACGTCACAAGCGATTCGTGGAGGGTGGCGCATATGTCCAAGGAGGTTTTGTCATCGTCGAGAATCTTCTCCGAGAAATGGGCGACGTATCACGCGGTTCGAAACAATCTCCCGTGTGGATCTTCGGACTCTGGAAACTACTCATGGAAAAGGTTCCCAGTGAGATCTCAAAGATGTTTCTAGCTCATATCACGGCGTTGGGACAGCAATTTCTTCCCGGTTTGCACCCAGCACAGGAGATAATGCATTGTCTCTGTCGTGTTCGCAACACCACCACACATGATGTGTTTGTTGAGTTCATGTCATCAACGTGGACTGATATCATCCACGAGATCACCAATCTCGTACATTCGAATGGGTTGAATGCAGCCGCATGTCTACCCCATACCTTCTGGATGGGACAAAAAAACAACGCCCATCTTCGTCAATTTCACGAGACCACGTTGGGATTCAGTCGTGCAGAGCCCATAACGGACTGGCAACAACGCAACAGAGATCTGGCATTCACGCTATGCGGCTCAAAACAACTGTATCACGCGGCACCTTTTCATACCCATATATTGACCCTGATGTGGCTGAGACGCTCTGTCGTGGACAGCCCCACAGCCCAGCGGGATACGCTACTCTCCGGAGAAAACCAGACGGACGGTCAAACTAACGAGATCTGTACGGTCAAGTCAGCAATTCTGACTCGTGTGGAACTAAGTCTGGGCAAGGAAAACAACCAAAGTGAGAATATCCATATCAGATTCCTATCTGGGGACGTGTATCAAGCCGGACATCTTCATTATCCTGGACAAGGCGAGGACATTGCGACGTTCAGACGACGACACTCTCTGGACACTCAAAAATTTGAGCAGGCAAAGGCTATGTTTCGGGCAAATTCCGGTGTGGAAACAGAAAAGGGAGCATGGTTGAAATGGCTTCAAATCTTGGAAGACTCACTTATTAGCCCACAGGACGCATCAAGAGTATGTGAGGAGGAGCGAGTCGAATCAGTTCTTGCACACAACAACCTCCGCGGCAAAGGCTTCGTCTGCGATTACATGTACACCCTGTATGGCGACATTGGCATTAGCGAAGAGAAGGAGAGACGAAACCTTAGGAACGACTCTCCTGGGGAAGAGGGCTGGATGTATTGTAGAACAGCATGTTTTCAGACCTGAAGATACCTTAATGAGAGAAATACTATCATCATCACCTATCTAACTGTCAACAATGGTGTTTGGTCCTTATTCTGCTTCTGAATGCAGTAATCCCTATGCGCTGCGCACATCATCAACACAAAGCTCTGTCCCTCCGGACTCCCTGTCATCAATGGCTCTCTCAGACCATGATCGAGTGGTTGCACCGCTGGCTTTGCGATCCCCTCCTCATCGACGGATCTAAGAACCGCCTCCCTTTTTTCCATCGCCCACTTCAGATCACCCCCTCTAGCCTCATCTGGGAGAAGCACCGCCATCCTAAACACGACGCTCGCCAACAAGGCCGTGCCTGAAATTTCGCCAAACCATGAGTCGTCGTTGAGATAGTTCCTCAACAGCCCGCTCTCGTGGTCATCCGTCGCCATAGCGGCCCGTATGATATCGTTGATCCACTTGCCCAATTTGGATATGGTCGTGTCAACATCGAAGTCGACAGGCTTCCAGTGCTTGACTGTCGCTAGAACGCGACACAACCCTGCAGCTACCCATCCATTGCCGGTGCTCCAAAATCCGGGGTCAGACTTTTCCGATCCAACGATGTGCTGCCACAGGCCGCCAACACGGCCAGCGCTCTCGGAGCTGTCGAGCAGGATGGCGCGGTAGAGGGAGCACTGGCCGAAAGAATGCTTCAAGTAGAACGTATCTTGCGTGGCGACGGCATAATATGCGAGGAATGGCGGGACCATATATCTGACCAGTTAGTTAAAGGATGGCAGTAGTGACAAGAGAGAGACCGTACATGAAGTCCGCCCAAAGCTCCACCACTTTCTTCCGGTGACTTATTGCAGCATTCGCCCAGAGCGGTGCCTTCTTCAACAGGTATTCCGCTTGACGCCGAGAAGCATCGCGGAATTCTTCCGAGTTCGGCAATCCGGAGCATTGGCCGAGGAGCAGGGCGCTCACGCCCAGAGCCGCGGGATCTGCGACGCCCCAATCGTCGTTGGAGAGGTTGTCGGCCCCCAGCTGTATGCGATCTTTGACATACTGTAGGGCTGATATATCTCCGGGTGACGACAGCTCCGGTAGCCGGCCATTTGGGAAGCAATGCGGGCTGAAAACGGACAACGAGGGGTGGTGGAGTTCCAACAGAGCTTCAGCGCAGGCCGCGTATTCCCAGTCATGGGTGGCTAGGCGCTTTGCCAGAGATTCTACTTTCTGGATATCACACCCATAATCGACGTCTCCGTTCATTGTGTCAGTAGATGTTGACATATCGGTGCGATGACGAGGTTTTTAAATGTAAACTGCGTGTCCAAGAGGAAAGCGGGCGGAACTCGGGAAATTGCCGCTGCTTATTTATGCTGGGTTGGCGGTGCCCCCGCACTTTGCTCCAGGCATCCCCTCATTTCCCCCCACCTTTCTAACTAATTTTTGGGGGTCTGATTCGTAGCTCCGCAACTTCGCCCACCGCCCCCTCTTCTCAGCGCCGATCTCATCGTCTCGGAGCTCCACCTCGTCGGCCATGCGGTCCGTCGTTCTGGTTCTAGGTGATCGGAGATCGGATACAACTAGACCCGGTTGCGTGTGGGGCACGGCTCCACTTGGTTTCAGCACATCGTCACGTGAGATTTGCAAGAACTTTGATGTCATTTCGGTCCTTTTCTAAAACCTCGACTTAGCAACATCAAAGCATCACAACTGTTACTAACAGCGATGAACGGAGCATAATTAAACCAGCTATTATCAATTGTCTCCATGTTCTCCGAGATTCACAACATCATTCGCCAGCATCCGCAGTATTGCGGGAATATCTGGGTGACTGGACAGGTTGAGCAAACTGCTTGGCGTGTTGCACCAAGAAGCATATATACGGGAGGACAGAGGGCATGCGGCATAGCTATAAACTTAGAGCAGTAGCGTGTAATGATATAATGGTACGGGAGTGGAAAAGAAGCGTTTGCCCGAACATTTTGTCTACTGCTGGAAAAAAAAAAGCCTGTGATGCATGGCTCGCCGATTGTTCGAAAGGTGGCAGAGCATTTGGAGGCGTGGGAATAGTTTGGCCTAGTGTTGTCGCGTCCTGGACTGGAGGCAAAAGGGGGGGTGATGAACACTGAGGTCGGCCTATCTGCACGAAACAGCGTTCTTCTCAATATATTACTGAATGGCTTGCTGCATCTCAAGGCAGTGGAGGGAGAAAAGACATACCACAATGGTGGTAAAATCGGTGGCAGGGTCGCGATTGGAGGGAGAGTCATTCGTCTAACCATGCCGTAGGAAAGATCAACTCCATGCTGGCAGAAGCCACTAATTATTAAGTAGATCTTGCAAGGTAGCCTCGCACCTCCAGTTCCAATTGATCTACACATTAGTTGCCCCCAAACTTGTCCATCCATCCCCAAATCCTGCAAAAGCAGCTGGCAAGCACAGACACGATCGCCCTATATTCACAATGAGATGCTGCCAGGTAATTAACCAAGAACTAATTAATTAATTACTCATAGAGAGTGAAGCAGCCAGCTAGGCACTTCACTGTCTCAAGTCAATTACAAAACAACTTTTAAGCAAAATCTCTTTCAGCCAGCCACATACACGTTCTCCTCCTCCTCCTCGTCAGCCATCGCCGCGCTGTACAGCCTCGCAAAGGCCGACCCGGGCACGTCAAGGAGGGCATACGGGCTGTCAAACTCGACGAGCCTTCCAGCGTCCAGAACGGCCACCTTGTCAAAGTCCATGATGGTCTCGAGCCTGTGCGCTACGGCGATTATGGTGTGGTTGGCGAATTTCTTGCGGATAAGGCGCTGCATCGTCTCTTCGGTCTTTGCGTCGATGCTTTTGATCGGAAAGAAGATTTTGAGTAAACAGAGCTGCCGAACCGCGAACATGGATGGATAGGAGGATGAAAATAAGGGAGAGAGGGGGAAAAAAGAAGGAAAAAAGGGCCTTTACCTGCTAGTGGCCTCGTCCAAGATGAGGATGGTGCTGACACGAAGCATAGCGCGGGCAAGACAGAACAGCTGCTTCTGCCCACCGGACAGATTCAGGGCGTCGATGTCGGCATCCAGGCCGCCATTCTTGTCGACGAGATCCATTACCTGCACGCATTGAAGGGCCGCTGTGATGGCTTCGTCCGAGGCAGCTCCCATCGGGTCCGCGTTGAGACGTACGGACCCCTTGAGGAGGAAGGGATGCTGCGGCAGGCCGACGATCCGACGACGGACTTCTTTCCTGGGGAGGGTGGCAATGTCCACGCCGTCCACGCGGATGGACCCGCGTTGGGAATCTACGAGGCGGAAGAGGCTCATGATAAGAGAAGTTTTACCACTGCCCGTCCTCCCGCAAACTCCAATCTTTTCGCCGGCTTGGATGGAAAGAGAAACGTCTTTCAGGACGAGATCATCTCCGCTTTTTTCTCGGAAGGAAGTCATCTTGGTTAGCAGGAAAAAAAAAAAAAAAAAAAAAAAAGAAGAAAGGTCGATTTTGGCCCGACGCGCTAGAAACTTACCTGTAGGCAGCAGAAAGATTCTCAAACTCAATCGCGCCAGTCGACGGCCAGCCCGGCGGAGGCGCATCCTTCTCCCCGGGCAGGTCCTCCGGCACGGCCGTCTCGGTGAAGCTCTTGATGCGAGCGACGGAGCCGATGTGCGTCTCGAGAGTCGTCCAGAAGGTGACCAGAAGCTTGATGTTCTGGCTGAACTGGATCACGTTGAGCAGGGCGAGGCCGACGCCGCCTGCTCCCACGGTGCCGCGGAGCTCGACCACCAACACCACCAGCAGCACGGCGACGGCGGCGACGAGCAGGTCCAGCACGAGCGTGAGCCAGCGCTGTACGGCGAATAGGAGGTAAAAGGGCCGCTGCGAGCGATCCAGCAGCGTGTGGTTTCTGTCCTCCAGCGCGTCCTGCCACCCAAAGGCGCGGATTGTGGCGAGCCCGCTGAGTGACTCTTCAAAGAGCGAGTAGAGTGGGGCCTTGGTCTCGAGGTCCATTAGACGCAGCTGCCGCGAGGTACGCAGGTAGAATTTCTGGATGAGATACAGGGCCAGCAAAACGATGGGAAACGAGATGGCCGCATAGATGGACCCAACGCCGATGAGGACCATCTGGGCAATGCAGAGGATGAATGCTGATAGGGGGAGACGTCAGAGTCCGAACTTGGAGAATGAAGGAAAGAAGGGGCGGAGACGGGGACGGGACCTACTGGCGAAGGTGTTGAGCGCGGCGATGGGCAGCTCCATATCTATGAGCTGAAGGTCTTGGCTGAACCGATTCATGGTGACACCAGAATCCGTCTTGGTGAAGAATGACATGGGTGCACTGGTATGCGACGCTCTGGGTCAGTAGCGTTTCTCATGACCAAGGGACTCCCACAAACTTGCCTGAGTACAGTGTTGAGCAACGCCAAGTGGAATCTTTCCCCAGATAGGGGGACAATCGTGATGATCATTTGCCTGGAAGTGTGGTGCTTAGCGTCCGCTACACCTCTGCCTTGGGAATACAATGCTTACCAACAGCTTATAAACAAGCACACAATGGCAATGCATCCAAGCGCGGCATAAACACCCAGCCAATATCCCAGCCTGCTGTTGGGATGACGCTCGTTGTCGGCTGCCCACCACTTAACCCAGACAGCTAATCAATGACAGAATGATCAGCAACACGGCATTAAAGAGAGCAAAAGCCTGCAATTCATGGTCCAAGAAGAGGTTCACTTACTCGGGAACGACATGGCGAACACGAAACCGACAATGGCAAACACGAAGACGACACTCGCCCACCAGCCAACCGACTTCACATAGTACAGGTATATCTGCACGTCGCTGGTCTGTCGGCTCGTCTCGGCCTCTCCATCGCGGGTACTTGTAATAGTCTCGCTCGACGAGAACGAAGCGCCGTAGTCGATTTCCTTGGGAGGAGCAGCAGTGGCCATGTCATCGTGATCATCGTCGGGACTAGTGATATCATCATCATAATCATCACCACCACCATTGTTGGGGACATAGGTCCAGTCAGCCCGAGGCAAGGAAAACGAGGACACGTAGCCTCCAGTATCGTTGAGATCAGCAAACGTGCCCTGCGCGCTGATCTCCCCATTGGGGCCAAGACACACTATGTGATCCGAGTAGGGAAGGCGTTTGGCTGCAGAGTTGATTAGCATATGCCAGCCGCACCCCTGGCGTGGGATGAGGATTCGGGGACTTGTAGTCGATCGAGACTTGCCTGAGGAGGAAACTAGCAGCACGGTGGAGTGCATCTCGCGGAGGATTCCCTTCTCGCCGAGGAGACGATGGAAGATATGGTTCTCGGTCGACGTATCGAGCCCGCTGAGGGTGTCGTCCAAGATGACAATTTCTCTACGAGCATAGACGGCGCGAGCCAGTGCCTGGAGCAGTCAGTGAGTCAGGGGTCAACGCTGAAGAAACAGAGTGTCGGCGGTATAAAACTAAGCAAGGGGTTGGGAAAGACGAATGGAAAAGCCCCTACCAGACGTTGACTCTGCCCACCGCTGAGCGCAATCCCCTGGCTCCCGATCCGCGATGAATCGCCCATGGGCAGCTGTCTAAAGTCACGATGGAGGGCACAGGCGCGCACGACACGCGCGTACCACTTCTCGTCAAACTGCATGCTGCCCACAATGGCCTGCCGGACGGTGCCGTTCATATGCCAGGGGTTCTGGGCGCAGTATGCCACGCTCGTGCAGCCGAGGCGCACCGAGCCCGCCAGCGCGGGGATCTCGCCCAGCAGGGCGTGCAGCAGCGTTGACTTGCCGCAACCGACCGGGCCGACGACCATGGTGAGCTTCCGCCAAGGGATCGACAGCGTGATGCCACTCAACAGAGGCCGCTCGGCGGAATCCCATCCAAAGTCACCCTCCTGGACGCTGATGGCGTCAGCCGCTAACTTGGGCTCGTCGGCCAGCTCGTCGGGCCCGCGCATGTCGGCCCGCTCATCCGACTCGAGAAACTGCTGGATGCGGGTGAAGCTGCCGACGGCGCCCAGGAAGGTTGCCAGCGACATGACCAGGGACGCCAGTGGCTCCGAGAGCAGGGCAAACAGCGACAGCGCGGTGAAGACGCGCGCCGTGTCCAGCGTCTTGTCGCTGCCGTCGCGGGCACGGACCGAGAAGACGGCAAAGGTTAAGACGGGCGCGAACACTTGCGTCACATAGGCTAGAGTTCCCATAAAAATTCTGCATCAGCCACCTTCCTACTGCAGAGTGTTGTGGGTCTTTTTTTCTTCTCCTTTTTCCCCCCATTTTTCTTTCTCCATGCCTGGGCTTACCGAAAACCATGTTCCAGATGAGCAGCTTCCGAAACCGCTTCGAGATGCGCATCTCGTCGACCCGCAGCTTCTGTAGGCTGGCTAGCAGTGTGTCATTCAGGCCGGACATCTTCACGCCTTTCATGGACGCCAGCATGGCGGAGGTGGCCGAGATGCGCTTCTCGATGGCCTCGAGCCACATGGCCTGGCGAGACATGATGAAGTTCATGGCGACCAGGGACCCCAGCAACGACACTGCGTCGTGTCAGAGAACACCGTTTTTTTTTCCACCATAAAATTAACTAGGCAATTGGAAGAAAAAGGGGCTTACGGATGGACACTGCAACAGGCACGACGCACGCGACACCCATCTGCCGCTCCAGGAGATAGATGGCGACGCCGACCTCGACGAAATTCGCCCAGATCTCGTGCATCGTCTGCCAGCCCTGGACGATGCGCTCCATGTCGGCGCTCATGAGCGTCATGGACGCCGCGGGATCAACGTCCCTGAGGCTGAGAGTGCCCGTCTTGCGGTAGATAATGGAGACGAGGCCTCCGCGGGCCATGGTGATGGTGCGATAGGTCCGGTGCTGGTATTGGCCCATCGAGACCTAAAACTCTCCCGGAGTGAGTCAGAAATTTGTTGAGGGGGAAAAAAAAAAGAATAAACAGGAGTGAGTGAGACTCTAGTGGGCACGTTACCGCGATGCCGACATAGACCAGCAAGTACGCGCCAATGAGGCCATAGCCGATCTGTGTCGTCTCATTGGTGATGGGTTCCTGTGATAGCCTGATGGTGCGGTTGATGAGAAATGGCTGACAAAAGGTAAACGCCGTGAGGCAGGCACGTGACGGAATAGTCTGGAGCACGGGCCACTTTAGTGCGTCAAATGATGCCACTAGAAGAGAGTACGGCGACTTCCGGACAACTAAATACCCCTATTATGTGAGCAAGCATATCGTCGTGACCCCGAAAAGGGGGTAAAAAAAGGGGGGGGGGGGGGGCCAAAAAAAAGGGGGTAAAAATAAATAAGCCTAAGAGGGCACCCACCGGAGGTCCAAGCTTCCCGAAACCGCCTGTGGCAGTACGATGCCTGGAGATGCTTGTCCAGCACAAACAAGTCGTCGACGTCCAGCACGCGGCTAAAGCCCAGGCGGAAAAGCGGATTCAGCCACCAGAAGAAGGACCGGTTGTAGATGCTGCTAGTGGCTTCGGGCGGGTAAGCCCGGTACTCGGGACGCAGCAGGCGCCGCTTCTCCAGGGCTTCAAGCACGAGGACGAATGCCTTGGCGACGACGGCGGCGGCGGAGACGTAGGCAATGATGTGATTCACATGATCCGCGGCACGGAGCCACAGGGTTCTAGCATGGGAAATGTCAAACAGAAGGGTGGCAAACAGGTAGGAGTTCAGGATGGAGGAGGGCCGGACGGCACGGCCATGCTCGGCGTACGAGAGGAGGCAGAGGCCAAGCGTGGAGAGCGGAGTGAGAGCAGCAGCAGCCAGGGAGGTCCGCGTTCGGACGGCCGACGGTGTCGTCCAGAGGATCAGTGCCGCGAGCTGCGCAGCACTGAGGGCGATCCAAGCCGACTGGACATAACATCAAAAGGGCCGGATTAGCAAAGGGGGGTTTTTAGCCGAGCTTGCAAAAAGAAAGATGCATGCTTACAAGCTTGACAGCTGCCAAGTGGTTGGCTGCCGCCACCTTCTTAGAGCGCTTCCACAGGAACCAGACGCGCGGAGGAAGCACGAAGAGGAGAAGGCCCAGGGGCAGAAGAGTAAGAATCGTCTCCTCGAAGAGCAGCGTGAAGTCGAAACCGCCACGACAGTCGCCGGCGTGAGGTCCGAACGAGTCGTCGAGTCGAGCGCACGAGGAGAGAGACGATTGGGTCATGGCCGCCGAAGTCGGACAGCAAAGGGCCGTATACGAGAAGCTGTTATGGCACGGTATAAAAGGTAAAAAGGGGAGAAAACTGGGGAATGGGGACCGAGATCGACGAGAATAGTTCGAAATGGAAGAGGACCAGGTCCTGGGTAACACGGCTACATATTAATAACCATCATCATCATTCTTTCGTAAATCATTGCCTCGTCGCCGGTTGTTTTCAGCTCGTTCCCCACCGGACTAGGTGACAACACTTTAAGACGACACTTTTCCCTGAAATGAGGCCTTACGTGCGGGCGTGTTTTTGGTTCATGATCGCCGGCCTGGAGTTGTACTCGCTAAGGCTATTTGCGTCGACATACGGCTCTATTGCAGCGTTGCGCACCGTTTCCCGGGTATTATACGGACCCACCAACCCCGGGTTTTGGCCCGTTGCTCTCCATGAATCATAACCAGGCAGTAATTGCAGCTTTGAAATCCTGTTTTTCCCAACTCAATCTACACGCTATTCGCCTCCGCGGGTTTATTTGCTTGGTTCCTCACCGAGGTCGCATCGCTAAGGCGACCTTGGAAAAACGATCTGCGCCGTATTGTGCCGTGTGAAAAGTCGACATTCTTGCTCAACGTAGCATATGGGGTCAGTGGCGTGCGCACCGTCCACACGATTTTCTTTATTCAGCCGCCTCTGCATGCGGCTGGCTATATGCACGGTTGCGTCCGGCCGCAGTTACCAATTTGATTTTTGCGGTGGTTCTCTTACCTGATTGGTCGGCTCGTCCCGCTGCCAAACGGATCTGCAGAACCGTTTCCCTTTAGAACACTCTTCATTAACGGAGTCCTGCATACTGCATATACAAAGACAGGCTTATTCCCCCTGCTTCTCAAGGTTCCCCATCTTGTTTCAGCCCGGAGACGGGATGGCTGTAGATCTTTTTTTTTTCTTATTCTGTCACCCAGACGTCAGGCATTCTTGGGGCAGGCCGATCTGGATCTGCGACTAAAAATAACTGGCCGTCGAGTTTTGCTAGATGTCACGTCACGTCACTACCTTAGGAGTCAGTCGTCTTTGCTCACCCAAGCCCGTCCCCCCCTTTTTCCAAAAAAAAAAAATCAGGCACTGGGGAAAAAAGTAAGTGCAGCAGAGAGCCACTTGAACGGAACCTATAACTATTCTCGTTTTATCTAAAACCCGGTTCACTTTGACTTCCATGACATGACCATAGTGAGACATAAGTTGGAAGTCTGAGTGATCACTGATCAGTCCTTATCCTGATAGCTTCAGTATTACTGACTACACGTCTCCATTCGTTGTTTCATTTGCACTGTGCAGTTTCTGCCATCCAACACGGTCAATTTCACAATTTCTATTCGTACCTACTTGTCTTTACCGCACCGGACCATGGACTCCACCGGTGCGATCAGTGACTCGGCAATGTACCCGACGGGTTTAACACCCTGCCGGTTCCCGCGGTTTAGCCGCCCGGCCATTGACACCGCAGCCGCCCGCCGACCAATCGCCTCTGCCCGTGTGGCTGTGGAGCACGCGGACAAGCTGCTAGCGCTGTCGACGACAGACCCCGACGGGCTCGGCGCCGTGCTCCGGACTGCCTGGGCGCTACTGTTGCGCTGCTACACCGGCCAGGACGACGTTAGCTTTGGCTTCCAGCGCGGCGGGGACGACACCGGTGAGCCCATTGTTGCACGTTTTGTGCTGGACGACTCCGCGTCTGTTGCCGAGACGGTGGGCCGCGCCAAGACGGAGCTTGCCGGCAATCCGTCCCCGCCTCCTGCCGGACTCGTCCGCTCCGGGGATCACGCCCTCTTCGACACGGCAGTCGCGCTGTGGGGCTTTACTGGGACATTGGCACCGTGTCAAGTTCTAGCACCGGTATCTCACTCCCCCTTTATCCCGCCACCACCCCCTCCTCTGAGCCAGCCTCCCCCCCCCCACCCCCAATTCCAACCCTAACCCTTCTCATTCCAGCGGCTAACACGAGCAGCAGCACAAGCTCCGCCTCCTGGTGAAGCACGGCGAGGCCAGCCTGGGCCTGTTTCTGGAGTGGAACAGCAGCCTGCTCGGCATGCCCACGGCGCAGGGCAACATTGTGGCCAGCACGCTGGGCAAGATCCTATCGGGCCTCCTCACGAGCCCCCCGGACGCGCAGCTGGGCAAGCTTGACTGTCTGAGCCAGGCGAGCGTGGACCAGGTCTGCGCGTGGAACGGCAGTTGCTCGATCCAGCCGGTCGAGCGCTGCGTCCACGACGTGGTTGCCGACCGCGTCCTCGAGCGTCCCGACGACGAGGCCGTCTGCGCCTGGGACGGCGAGCTGACGTACCGCGAGCTGAATGCCGTGGCCGGCCGTCTGGCCGCTCGGCTGGTGCGGCTCGGGGTTGGCCCCGAGGTTTTGGTCCCGCTCTGCTTTGATAAATCTGTACGTGGTTTCTTGTTTTTTTTCCCCCGTCTTTTCCATGGTTGTTTCTGTGTGTTGCGTTGATGGCAGGCAGGAGATGGACGTGCCGATCCTTAGCTAACTCGATGATTAGAAATGGACCGTAGTAGCAATGCTCGCGGTGCTGAGAGCGGGCGCGGCATTTGTGCCTTTGGACCCATCTCATCCTGTCGGGAGGCTTCGGAGTCTCTGCGACTCGGTCGAGGCGAGGCTCATGCTGTGCTCCCGTCATCTCGTGCAGATGCTTTCTGTGGTCTTGGACACAGTGGTGCCTGTAGATGACGCCACCGTGACCGAGTCCGCCCAGGCAGAGCCCGAGGGGAGTGCCATGAGTATGACCAAAGCGTCTCCCAGCAACGCAGCGTATGTCATATTCACATCCGGATCCACCGGTAAGCCCAAGGTAAGCAGGCACACACTTGACACTTGGCAGCTCCGCGGTTGTACGAGAGCTAAGCGTGTGGTTTTTTTTATATTTAATTTTTAACATTCTATTCAAAAAACAGGGCACCGTTATCGAACACCGGGCCTTCTGCTCCAGCGCCCGGGCACACGCCCCGGCCCTGCGCATCGACAGCACCTGCCGGGTACTGCAGTTTGCAGCGCACACCTTTGACGCCAGCCTCGTCGAGATGCTCACGCCGCTCATGGTCGGGGCCTGCGTCTGCATCCCCAGCGAGCACGAGCGGCTCAACGACCTCGCGGGGGCCATCGGCCGCATGGGCGTTGACCATGCCGTGCTGACGCCGTCGTTCGTCGGCTTCCTCGCACCGGCCGCCGTACCGGGGCTGCGCAGGCTCGTGCTGGCTGGCGAGGCCATGGCGCCCTCGCACGTCGCCACGTGGTCACACATCGAACTCGTCAACGGCTACGGGCCGGCCGAGACCGCCGTCGCGGCCGTGGTCAACTCGCGCGTCGGGCCCAACACCGAGGCAAACGACATTGGAGTGCCGTGCGGTGTGCGCTGCTGGCTTGTTGATCCTGCCGATCACCATCGCCTGGTGCCTGTTGGCTGCGTGGGCGAGATGCTTCTCGAGGGGCCGAGTCTGGCGAGGGGCTATCTGAACGAACCCGGCAAGACGGAGGAGAGTTTTATCTTCGATCCTGCATGGGCGCAGCATGCTTTGTCATCAAGTGCCGGGGACAGAGAGAGCGTAGATGAACGTCCCCGGCGTCGTCGCTTCTACAAGACAGGGGACCTGGCTCGGTACAACTCGGCCTCGGGCTCGCTGAGCTACGTCGGGCGCAAGGACACGCAGATCAAGTTCCACGGCCAACGCATCGAGCTCGGCGAGATAGAGCACCATCTGGCCGTTGACGAGAGCGTCCAGCACGCCATGGTCCTCCTCCCGAAGCTGGGCCCCTTGGGGGGACGACTGATTGCCGTGCTTTCGCTCCCGGAGTCCTCTGGAGTGCCACTGCAGCCTGCTTCTAGTGGCAAGAAAGTCGGAAACGCGGTGCTGACGCTGACTGAAAACCCGTCCGTGACCGAGCCCGTCTTGCAGCTCGTTCGCGCGCGGTTGTGCGCACAACTTCCTGAGTACATGGTGCCGTCAACATGGCTGTGCGTCGACGCCATCCCCATGCTGTCTTCCCGGAAGATGGATCGCAAGACCGTTGCCACGTGGGTCGAAAGCGTCATCAGCATCGAGCAGTGCCAGAAGATCATCATGGGGAATCATCCCGCTCAGACTACGAAGACGACGACGACGACGACGACGACGACGACGACGGAAGAAGAGGGCGACGACAGTAACATACTCCTGACCGAGGTTGAGGCCAAACTCGGCGACATCTGGAGCCTGGTGCTGAACCTTCCCGCTGGTCAGATCAGTCTAGGCGACCGCAGCTTCCTCAGTCTGGGCGGCGATTCCATCTCGGCCATGGCCTGCGCGAGCTACGCCAAGAAGGCACAGCTGGGCCTGGCGGTGCAGGACGTCCTCCGCGCAAAGTCCCTGCGGCAGCTGGCCGCGGGGGTCAAGCCCATTGCGCAACGAAACAAACAGCATGAAGAAGAAGAAGAAGAAGAAGAAGAAGCAGGAGAAGCTCTTGACACATGCTTCGACCTCTCCCCGATCCAGCAGCTGCACTTCCAAGTCCGGGGTGTGGCCCAGGGCGACGAGCACTTCAACCAGAGCTTCTATCTCCGTGTCACCCGCCACGTAGACGAAACAGCTGTCCGGGACGCGATCGACGTCGTGGTGAGGCGCCACGCCACGCTCAGGGCGCGCTTCAAACCGAGCGGCGAGGGCGGAGATTGGCAGCAGTTCACCACGGCCGATGTGGGCGCATCCTACCGCTTCCGCGCGCATGCGCTATGCTCGGCCCGTGAGGTTGACGCGGGCATGTCCAGCGCCCAGGGTTGCCTAGACGTGCGTCGAGGTCCTGTCTTTGCGGCAGAGCTGTTTGCCGCCACGGAGGGGGACGGCGGCCAGCAGATGCTGTTCATGACGGCGCATCACCTCGTCATCGACCTCGTCTCTTGGCGGGTGATCCTCGAGGAGATGGAGGAACTACTGGAGAATCCTTCGGCCGCCAAGGAATCACTCTCCGTCCCTCAGTCGCTGACATTTCGGAAGTGGACGGCCCTGCAGAAAGACGCCTGTGCGGGCACGCAGCTCAGCCAGGTCCTCCCAGCAGCGGCCCAAGTGCCTGCCGAACAGTTCGCCTACTGGGGGATGCACGACCGGCCAAATCTGTACGGTGACGTGGTGTGCCAGGGATTCGAGCTCGACGCGGCCACCACGGCCACAGTTTCGACCCAGTGCCACGCCCCTTTCCGCACCGAGACCGTCGACCTGCTCCTGGCGGCGCTCATCTGGTCCTTCCACACCACCTTCCCGGACCGGCCCACGCCGGCCATCTTCAACGAAGGCCACGGCCGCGAGCCGCCGACCGGCGGCGCCGAGGTCGACATATCCCGCACCGTCGGCTGGTTCACGACCCTCTTCCCCGTCGCCCTGTCCTCCCCGGCCACCTTCGCCGACGCCCTGATCCAGACCAAGGACCTCCGCCGGCGCGTCCCGGGCAACGGGCGACCGTACTTTGCCGCGCGGTTCCACACCAGCGAGGGGCGCGAGACCTGGGGCGCCCACCACAGAGCCATGGAGGTGTCGTTCAACTTCCTCGGCCGCTACCAGCAGCTCGAGCGGGCCGGCGCCCTCTTCCAGCCGGCGGCGGGCGCCCTCATGGCCGGCGAGTCCCACGCGGGCAGCAGCGCGACGGCCGACTTTGGGCGCGCCGCGCCGCGCTTCGCCCTGTTTGAGGTCTCGGCCGTGGTGGTGCGCGGGGCCCTGCGGTTCGGCTTCGCGTGGAATCGCGGGATGCGCCACGAGGCGCGCATCCGCGACTGGGTTGCCGCGTGCCGCCGACTCCTGATCGAGGCTGCTGCCGTGTTGCCCGGGCTGGCAAGCAGGATCACGGCGAGCGATCTCGCGCTGGTGCCGGAGCTCACCCCGGCGGATCTCGACGCGTTCGAGCGGACTAAGCTGCCCGTCTTGGCGGGCGGGTGTCGTGGCTGGGACGCGATCCAGGACATCTACCCCGCCTCACCCATCCAGCAAGGGCTGTTGATGAGCCGGTCCAAGGACGGGAGCTTCTACGCCGTGCGCCGGGCGTTCCGGGTCAGGCTCGGCGGCGAGGACGACGGGGCAGTGGGTGATGGCGCTGCTGCACGACTGGTGCAAGCGTGGAAAGGTGTCGTGCGGCACCATGCGCTGCTCCGGACCGTCTTCGTTGACGCCATCAGCCAGGCACGGGCGGGCAGCTATGACCAAGTGGTGCTGAGAGACGTCGATCCCTTGGTCGTGGTGCACGAGTGCCTGCGCGGAGAAGAAGACGAGATGCGCGGAATGGTGGATAATTTGGTGCCGATGAAATACCAGGACGGCACGCCGCAGCATCGCCTCTCCGTCTTCTACGACAAGAAGGCCAGTAACAACGGCGTCTTCTGCGTGCTGGAGATGAGCCACGCCGTCATAGACGGGGCGTCGATGGACATTCTCTTGCGCGACCTCGGACGGAGCTACGAGGGGTCCCTCGACCGCCTACCGAGACCGCTGTTCAGCCCCTTCGTGGCGAGCCTGCAGCAGCGCAGCGCCGACGCGGACGTGGCCTTCTGGACGGCCCACCTCGCGGGGCTCGAGCCGTGCCACTTCCCCGTCCTGAACGACGGCATCAGCGTGTCCGAGGCCAGAAGGGAACTGCGCTCCCTGAGGGTGTCGTTTCCCGGGCTGGCGGCGCTGCGGGCTTTCTGCGACGGCACCGGGGTCACCTTACCCAACGCGTTCCACGCCGCGTGGGCTCTGACGCTGGCGTGCTACACCGGCACCGACGACGTGTGTTTCGGCTACCTCGTCTCGGGGCGCGATGCCACGCTCGTCGAGGGGTCCGAGGACGCCGTCGGTCCCTTCATCAACATGGCCACCCAGAGGGTGCGGCTCGGCGGTGCGGATGATGACCGCCAGTTGTCCCTGCTGCGTGTCCTCGAGGCTGTGCAGCAGGACCAGCTCGACTGCATGCCCTACGCCCAGGCCTCGTTGGCTGAGGTGCAGCACGCGCTCAGCGTGCCGGGCGGCATGGCGCTCTTCAACACGTGCGTATCATTCCGCCGCCGCCGCCGCCGCCGTCCTTCACAGCGATTGCAGCAGGAGACGGATACTGAGGGGCCGCTCGTGTTTGAGGACTTGGGAGCCATCCATGACCCGACCGAATATCCCATCTCGCTGAACGTCGAGATAGACGACGAGGGAGAAGCTGCCATTGACATGGACTACTGGACGGACGCTGTCGCCAGCCCACAGGCTGAACATGTCGCGGCAACCTTTGTGCAGGCCCTGTCCAACATGATGGAGCATGCCGAAACGCCCATCTCGCAGCTGGACCACGTTCACGAGACGAGCAAGGAGCTCATCTGGGCCTGGAACGCCAACATTCCCGCCCCCACCGCGGAGTGCGTGCACCGCATGGTCGAGAAGCAGGTGGCCCTCCACCCACAGGCGCAGGCAATCCGCGGGTGGGACGGCGACTTCTCGTACGAGGAGATGAACACCGCGGCGGACCGTCTAGCCCGGCACCTGCTCGACTTCGGCGTCGGGCCCGAGATGCTCGTCCCCGTGTGTTTCGACAAGTCCGCCTGGACCGTGATGGCCATGCTCGCCGTCCTCAAGGCCGGTGGCGGCGTGGTCCCCCTCAACGCCACGGATCCAGCCCACGCTCTTCAGGGTAAGGTGGTCGACACAGGCACGCACCTTGTGGTTGCATCCGAGACGCGGGCGTCCCTGTTCGAGGCCATGGTGCCGTATGTGGTGGCCGCCGGTCCCGGATTGCTGTCCCGACTAGCCGCCACCACCACCACCACCACCACCACCACCACCACCACCTCCACAACAACCACCACCTCAGCAGCAGCAGCAGCAGCAGCAGCTGACAGACAGGAAATCCGGTCGGGCGTGTCCCCAGAGGACCCAGCCTTTGTCATGTTTACCTCGGGCAGCACCGGCAGGCCCAAGGGCGTCGTGCTCTGCCACCAGGCCATGGTGTCGAGCGCGCTCTCGCACGGCTCGGCGCTGGGCCTCGGCCCGCACACGCGTTTCCTGCAGTTCGCGGCCCACACTTTCGACAACAGCCTCGAGGAGATGTTCACGACGCTCATCCACGGCGGCTGCGTGTGCGTGCCCTCCGAGGCGGACCGGGTCGGCGACCTGGCCGGGGCCATCGACGCGCTCGACGCCAACTTCATGGACCTGACACCGACGGTGGCGGCGCTGCTGCGGCCCGAGCACGTGCCCAAGATCCGCGGCATGGCCGTCGGCGGGGAGCCGCTGACGCGCGAGGTGCTGGACGCGTGGGGAGGCGCTGTCCCCGTGCACAACCAGTACGGCCCGAGCGAGTGCTCCATCAACGCGGCGCACCGCCTGCACACGGACGCGCGGGGCGACGTGGCCAACATAGGAACTGGCGTTGGGAGCGTGTTGTGGGTGGCGGACCCGCGGGACCACGACCGGCTCGTGCCCGTCGGGTGCGTGGGCGAGCTGATGATCGAGGGTCCCATACTGGGGCGGGGCTACCTGGACAGGCCCGCCGAGACGGCTAGGGCCTTCGTCGAGATGCCCAAGTGGGCGCTGCAGGACCCGCGCCATGCCGAGAGGGGGAGCAGGAGGATGTACAAGACGGGAGACCTGGTGCGGTACAACTCGGACGGCTCGCTGATCTATCTGGGCCGTAAGGACACCCAGGTCAAGCTGCACGGTCAGCGCATCGAGCTGGGCGAGATTGAGCACCACGTCAAGGCCCATCTGCCGCCCGCTGCTCAGTCTTCGGTTGAGCTGGTATCCCTTGGACAGTCACAGAAGGCACTGGCCGTGTTTATCTGTCTCCCTTCTTCTTCTTCTTCCTCTTGTTCTCCTTCCTCTGCCGAAGAGGAGTCGGAGTCGGAGTCAGAGTCGAAGGAGGAAATCCGAGTCCTGCCCATGGACCCGGGCTTTAGCACTCTCGCGCAGAGCATCGTGGGAGCCATGGCCACCCAGGTGGCCGCGTACATGGTGCCCGGCCTGTTCCTGCCCGTGTCTAGGATGCCCCTCACCTCGTCGGGCAAGCTGGACCGCCGACGACTGCGCACCATGGCCCAGGCGCTGGCGCTGGCCCCCGGCAACGACGGCGTGGTGGCGTACCGCCTGGGAGGAGCCGCGACCCGCAACGGCCGCGCGCCCGAGACGTGTATGGAGAAGACCCTTCAGGAGCTGTGGGCGTCTGTGCTCAATGTGGCCGCCGATTCCATCAGTGCCGACGACAGCTTCTTCCGCCACGGCGGCGACTCGGTCGGGGCAATGCGCCTCGTTGCAGCAGCCCGGAAGAGGGGCATCGCGCTTAGCGTGGCCAGCATCTTCCAGATGCTCAAGCTCTCTGACATGTCGAAAACGGCTAGTGGCACCGGTGTTGTTGATAATGGCGAGGCAGGGGGCGGTACTAGTGCTAGTGCTAGTGCTAGTGCTAGTGCTAGTGCTAGTGCTAGTGCTAGTGCTAGTAGTGCTGTTGCTGTTGTTGTCGAAGAACAGGACGAACCGCTGCCTGGACCGGCCGAGCCATTCTCCTTGCTCAGGGAAAAAGGCGCAATGAGCCTGGAGGGCCTGCAGGAGCATGTCGCCTCGATCTGCGGCGTCGACGTTGGTTCCGTGGAGGACATGTACCCCTGCACCCCGTTGCAGGCAGGACTAGTTGCCGCGTCACAGAGGCATTCCGGCGCCTACGTGGCGGTGAATTCGTACGAGCTGCCTGCTGGCACAGACGTGTCGCGATTCAAGAGGGCGTGGCAAGACGTCGTGGACTCGGAACCCATCCTGCGAACACGCGTCGTGTTTGTCGAGGGCATTGGCTTCTTGCAAGTCGTCGTCCGCGGCGAGATCACCTGGACGACAGCAGCAAGCGTGGACGCCCTTCCCGAGACGCACCGCCAGCTGCCGCCGCACGATGGCGGCATCTTGTCTCGCTACACCATCATTGGCGACGACGAGCACAGCAGCCGGCCGACATTCGCGTGGACGGCGCACCACGCGCTCTACGACGGATGGAGCTTGCCGACACTACTGGGCCGGGTCGAGGCCCGGTACCGGCACCCGGAGGCGCCCATGGTCCCAACGCCACACTACTCGCGCTTCGTCGAGTACCTGTCCGGCGTTGACGTGTCCGCCTCGGACGCATTCTGGACGGCAAAGCTGTCCCCCGGCGCCACCACGGCGCCGCAGCAGTTTCCGCAACTCCCGCACCCGGGCTACCGCGTCCAGGCAACAAGCCAGACGCGCCGACCGGTACGCTTTACGAGGCCCAAGGGCGCAGAGCTGACGACATCCTCGTTCCTGCGGGCGGCGTGGGCGCTTGTCGTGTCCATCTACTCGTCTTCGGACGACGTCGTCTTCGGCGAGGTGCTCAACGGGCGCGACGTGCCCGTCGCCGGCGTCGAGGACATGGTGGGGCCGACGCTGGCATCGGTGCCCCGACGCATCCGCATCGATCGCGCCCTGAGCGTCGGACAGGTGCTGGCTGACGTGCAGGCGCAGCTCAACGACGCCATCCCGCACCAGTTCGCGGGCCTGCAGCGCATCAAGACGCTCAGCCCTACCGCCGCTGCGGCGTGCGAGTTCCAAAACCTGCTGGTCATCGATGTGGCCGATGAGGTGGCCGGGGATAGCCTGTGGAGCAACATGACCAGCGGCGGCACGACGCAGGGGGCCGACTTCTTCAGCTATCCGCTCAACGTTACGTGCACCATTGGGCGCAACAGCAACGATGACAAGATCGAGATGCGCGCCTATTTCGACGCCGAGGTGGTGCCGCGGTGGCAGGTCATCCGCATGTTTGGCCAGTTTGAGACGCTGCTGCTGCGCCTCTCGGCTGTCGAGAGCCAGCGAGACAGGATCGGCGACATCGACCTGCTCAGCCCAGACGACAAGGCGGTGTTGCGGGAATGGAACAGGACTCCTGGCCCGCTCGTGGAGCGCCACGTCCATGACATGATCAGCGAGCAGATGGCCCGCCAGGGCAGCGCCGCGACGGCGGTTGTTGGCTGGGACGCGACCTTGTCCAACGGCGAGCTGGATGCGCTCTCGACAGCCATGGCACGGGAGCTCTCGACCAAGGGCGTTGGTCCCAACGGCGTCAGGTTCGTTCCGTTTTGTTTCGACAAGTCGGCCGTTGCCGTGGTGGCCATACTGGCCGTGCTCAAGGCCGGTGCTGCGTTTGTCCCCTTGGATCCTGCGCATCCCGTCGGTCGACTGAGAGAGATTATTGGGGATTGCTCAGCCCGCGTGATCTTGTGCTCGCCTGAATATAAGGGCCTTTGCTCCCATGTTGTGGACACGGTGGTGCCTGTCGACATGGCCATGCTGAAGAAGATGGAGGGTGCGACACGGGCGACTCCGACCCTTGAAGCTGATGGTGCGTCAGCTTTTTGTTTACTTGCCCCTGACAACTCAGGCCCCTTAAAATTAACCTACAAACTGTTGGATAATTACTGACAAAAATACCAAAACGGAAAGTCGCCTGCCCGCCGAGCGACGCAGCGTATGTCATCTTCACGTCTGGGACGACGGGAAAGCCGAAAGGGGCGATTAGTATGATAAATAAATCTCACTCCTCCTTTTACTTTTTTTTTTTTCCCACTATTTCCTACCCTTTTTTTCTTCTCCCTCTTTAACTGACCCTTTTCATAACTAGTCTCGCATACAGCCTTCTGCTCTGGCGCTGCCGCACACGGCCCAGCCATGCTCATGACGCCGCCTTTTCGCTTTCTGCAATTCGCATCCTACACCTTTGACGCCTGCCTGGTCGAGATCCTGACGACGCTCATGATGGGTGGCACTGTGTGCGTGCCACGCGAGGCGGATCGCACCAATGGCAACATCGCCGCCGCCATGGAGCAGATGGGCGTCACCATGGCCCTGCTCACGCCCTCGTTCGCCCGGGTGCTCGAGCCGGCCGACGTGCCGCACCTCAAGACCCTGATCCTCGGCGGCGAGGCCATGGCCCAGAGCCACGTCGCCGCCTGGGCCGACAGGGTGAACCTCGTCAACGCCTACGGCCCCAGCGAGTGCGCCGTCGTGGCGGCCGTGAACCCGCACATGCGCCGCTCGTCCAACCCGGCGAACCTGGGACGAGGCCTCGGCCGCTGCTGGATCGTGGATCCCCGGAACCACGACCGTCTCGCGCCTGTCGGCTCCGTCGGCGAGCTGCTGGTCGAGGGCCCAACGCTGTCGACGGGCTATCTGCAGAGCGAGGCAAGGACCCGCGAGGCCTTTGTCGAGAATCCCCGGTGGGCGCGGGACAGGACCCTGCGCTATCCGGACATGGCGCTGACCCAGACGCCGCGCCGCATGTACAAGACGGGCGACTTGGTGCGCGTCTGCGACGACGCCTCGGGCGGAATGGTCTACATGGGCCGGAAGGACGCCTCGCAAGCCAAACTCAACGGCCAGCGACTGGAGCTCGACGAGGTCGCTCACCACCTTGGTGCCGACGATGCGGTCCGGCATGCCATTGTCATGTTCCCTAGGAGCGGGCCTTGTGCCAAGCGCCTGGTCGCGGTGCTCGTGCTCCTCTCGCTTCGGGAAGTCGCCACCGGGGAACAGACCGACAATGCTGCTAGCAAGTTTGAGTTGGTGACTTCCAGTGAGGAGGCGTCTTCCCTCGTGGACAAGGTCCAGGAGCGGCTGAGAGAGAAGCTGCCAGGGTACATGGTTCCGTCAACCTGGCTCGTGCTCCGAGGTATCCCGTTGCTGCCGTCAGGGAAGCTTGACCGTGCCAGCGTAGCCGGATTTGTCGAGGGCATGAGCGACGAGACGTTTGACAAGATCACCGCGGGCCATGACTTGCGTCAAGAAGACCATGACGGAAATGCAGCCGCCTCTCCGCGAAACCTCTCCATCGACGAGAGGCTCGTATCCATCTGGAGCCAGGTTCTCAACGTGGCTCCTCGGAAGATCGGCCGAAACGTCTCATTCTTGCACCTCGGAGGCGACAGCATTACCGCCATTCAGGTCATGGCGCGGTGTCGGGCTCAGGGCATCAGCGTCGCCGTGCAGGACATCATCGGCAGCAAATCGGTTCATGAACTCGCCCTCAAGGCCGGCGTCCCCAAAGAGCAGCAGCAGCAACAGGTGGCTGCCGCTACCGACGAGGATCATCACGAATTCGACCCGGCACCCATACAGCAGCTATACTTCCAACTCATGGCGGACGGCGCACCTTCCGCCGCCGCCGCCGCTGCCGGGGGGCGCCACTGTATGCAGTTCAACCAGAGCGTGCTGCTGCGACTGGCTAGGGATGCCAGCCCCCACGAACTCCGGTCCGGCCTACACGCGCTGGTCAAGACGCACTCGATGCTGCGGGCCCGGTTTAGGCGCGACGGCACGGGCAGCTGGCGGCAGCGGATCACGTCGGACGTCAGCGGGTCGTACCGCTTCAAGACGCACGCCATCAGCAGCGCGGACCGCATGGAGAAGCGCATCCAGAACTCGCAGAGGGCGCTCAACATCCAGAGAGGTCCATTACTGGCAGCGGACTGGTTCAGCATTGGCAAGCAGAAGAAGGAGGAGGAGGAGGAGGAGGAGGAGGTCTGCGTCTTCATCACCGTCCACCACCTGGTGGTCGACGTCGTGTCGTGGGGCATCCTGCTCCAGGACCTGGAGGACTTCCTCGCCACGGGAAGCATCAGTCCGCCCGCCTCGCTGCCCTTCCAGGCGTGGACCCGGAGGCAGTCGGAGCAGGCGCAGGCGCAGAAGAACGGGCCCGGCCTGCTCCCGCACCACGAGACTGCCGACGCCGATCTGGAGTACTGGGGCATGGCCGGCACGCCCAACCTCCATGGCGACGTTGTTGTCGTCGCCGAGGACGTCGAGCTCGACAGCGACACGACGGCCCTGCTGCTCGGGCCCGAGTGCCACGGGCCGCTGCAGACCGAGCCGCTTGATGTCCTGCTGGCGGCCTTGCTGCTGTCGTACCGCAACGCGTCGCCGGGTCGTCGGGGCGCGCCCACAGTATATAATGAGGGCCACGGGCGCGAGGTCTGGGACGAGGCGCTGGATCTTTCGAGGACGGTGGGCTGGTTTACCACGCTGTATCCAGTCCACCTGCCGGATGAATCGTTCTCTGGTGGGTTCTCCAATCCTTTTTTTTTTTTTTTTCCCTTTCTTCTTCCTTTTTTCTTCCTTTTTTCTTGTCTTTTTTCTTGTCTTTTTTTCTCTTCCTTTTTTCTTGTCTTTTCCCCCCCTCCCCATCAGCAAGGAAAGCTGCCTTTACTAACCATAGCTGTATTATAGACAATGATATCATTAGCGCCATCCGGTGGATCAAGGACTATCGGGAACGCCTGGCTGGCAAGGGGCGGCCCTACTTTGCCTATCGGCTTCTGACTTCTAAGGGCCGCGAGGAGTACGGCCACCGCTGGCCGGTCGAGGTCGCATTCAACTATCTCGGGCAGATGCAGCAGCTCAGCAGGACCGACACCTTCCTCCGGTCCTTTGACGGCGCCGGACAGTCCGTGAATTCGGCATCCGACATCGGCAAGGACGTCCCCCGCTTCAGTCTCATCGAGGTCTCGGCCCTCGTGACGGGCGGCAAGATGAAGCTATCCTTCGCGTACAACAAGCACATGGAGCACCAGGACTCTCTTGCGAAGTGGGCCAAGGAGTGCGGGTCTCTCCTCCGGGAGGCCCCCCGACGATTGATGCGGCACACGCCTGAGAAGACCCTGGGCGAGTTCCCGCTTCTGCCGCTTGCCTACTACGGCTTGGAGAACTTGGGCCACAGACTCCGAGACGTCGGTGTGGACCTGCAGGACGTCGAAGACATCTACCCTTGCTCCCCGATGCAGCGCGGCCTGCTGCTGAGCCGGATGCGGGATCCCGACAAGTACGCATACAGGGCCATCTTCCAGGTCGAGTGCTCACGGGGGGGAGAGGAGATTGATCCGAAGCGCCTGTGCGACGCCTGGCAGGCTGTTGTGCGGCGCCATGCGACGCTGAGGACCGTCTTTGTCGACACGGTGGGCGACGAGGGCTTGATGGACCAGGTCGTTCTTCGCAGTGCGCCAGGGCGGACTCTGATGCTGCACTGCGGCGACGATGACGGTGATGGGGAAGGGGAAGGGGAAGAGGGGCCGCTTGGCGCGCTGCAGAAGCTCCAGGCCATCGACTACAACGAGAAGAAGCCGCCACATCGCCTCGCGGTCTGCGCAACAAGCACGAATATCGGGCGTGTCTTTTGCCAGCTGGAGATCAGCCACGCCATCTGCGACGGGTCGTCGCTGCCGATCCTCCTTGGCGACCTGGCTGATGCTTACGGTGGCGATAGCAGCAGTGCCACCGTGGCCGCCGGCAACGTCGTGCCGCTGTACCGCGATTACATGACCTACATCCAGTCGCAGCCCCGCAGCGATAGCGTCGGCTACTGGAAAGACTACCTGGGCGGCGCGGAGCCGTGTCTGTTTCCCCCTCTCACTGACGGAGAGGTGGACGCGGAGCCGTCGTCACTCGGCTCACACGCCGTCAGCCTCGGCTTGGGCATGGTCGAAATCAACGACTACTGTGCCGACGCAGATATCACCCCGTCCACACTGCTTCAGTTTGTGTGGGCACTGGTGGTCCGGTCGTACACGGGCTCGGACGAGGTCCTGTTTGGCTACCTGGCTTCGGGGCGGGACGTGCCCGTTGCGCACATGGAGCACGCGGTGGGCGCCTTTATCAACATGCTGGTCTGCCGCCTCCGCATCGCCGACGACACCGAGGTCGGCGAGGCTCTCGACACGATGCGGGTGGACCTCGCCGACGCCATGGCCCACCAGAGCTGCTCGCTTGCCGAGATGCAGCACGAACTCGGGCTCCCCGGCGCGGCGCTGTTCAACACGGCGTTTACGTACCAGAAACGCACGGATCCCCACCGGGGTCGCGGGCAGCGGTCGCCGCGGTCGGCGCTGCAGTACCGCGTGGTGAGCGCCGAGGATCCCAGCGAGTACGCCGTCGCGGTCAACGTCGAGGCGGCGGACGAGACTGTCGAGGTCCACTTCAGCTACTGGAGAAACGTCGTCTCGGACGCGCAGATCAGGAACGTCGCGGCCACGTTTGAGCAGGTCCTGAGCGACCTCGTGGCCGACGGGCGCGACGATCGCACGGTGGGAGAGGTGGACCTCGTCGGCGGCGCGGGAATCCGGCAGATCTGCGCGTGGAACGACTACAAGCTTCCCCGCGTCGAGCAGTGCGTGCACCACGTCATCTCGCAGCACGCCCTGCAGCGCCCGCTGTCGACGCCCGCCGTGTGCGGGTGGGATGCCTCCTTTACCTACCGCGAGCTGGACGGCGCTGCAGCCACTCTGGCGCGCTACCTAGTCACCGTAGGAGCCGTCGGGCCCGAGGTGTTTGTCCCGCTCTGCTTTGAGAAGTCGGCGTGGACTGTCGTTGCGCAGGTCGCGGTGCTGAAGGCCGGCGGGGCCTTCGTCAATCTCGATCCTGGCCATCCCGACAGCCGCCTTGCGCAGCACATCCGAGACGTGGGTGCCAAGGTCGTGCTCTGCTCGGCAAAGCACAAGGCCAAGATGGACAAGATCACGAGCATGGCTTTCGTGGTTGCCGCCGAGTCCATCGAGGCCCTCAGCAACGCCTTGGCCCCAGAGACAGAGGCAAAGGCAGAGGCAGAGGCAGAGGCAGACGCAGCAGTATTCGCCTCCTCCGCAGCCAAGCCGTCCAACGCGGCCTACATCATCTTCACATCCGGGACGACGGGCAAGCCCAAGGGCACCGTCATCGAGCACGCCTCCTTCTGCACAGGGGCCATGGCCCACGCCAAGGCCATGTTCATGCGACCCGACTCGCGTGTCCTGCAGTTCGCCTCGTACACCTTCGATGCGAGCATCATGGAGACGCTCTCGTGTCTGTTGGTTGGCGGGTGTGTCTGCGTGCCCTCGGACGAGGACAGGATCAACGACGTCGCCGCCGCGATCCGCAACATGGGCGTCACCTGGACGCTGCTCACGCCGTCGGTGGCGAGCACGCTAAAGCCCGAGAGCGTCCCCTGCCTGAGGACCCTCGTCACGGGCGGGGAGCCCATGGCGGCCGGCCACATTGCGCGGTGGGGCACGCGGTGCGCGCTCATCAACGCCTACGGGCCGACCGAGTGCTCCGTCGTGGCGACCACGAGCACAAAGGTCGACGAGTCTCACCGGGTGTGCAACGGCGACCGCTCCAACATGGGCACCGCCGTTGGGGGCCGCGTCTGGGTCGTCGATGCGCGCAGCCCCGATCGCCTGGTGCCAGTGGGTGCCGTCGGCGAGCTGGTGGTCGAGGGCCGGCTGGTGGCCCGGGGCTATCTCAATGAAGAGGACCAGACCGCCAGGGCCTTCATCCGGTCGCCAGAGTGGACGAGGCATCCCGGCTTTGCCAAGTCCACGTATCTCCGCCAGGACAGCAGCAGCATGTACCGGACGGGCGATCTCGTGCGCTACAACTCGGACGGATCCGTCTCTTACGTGGCGCGCAAGGACATGCAGATCAAGCTGAATGGCAGGCGGATCGAGCTCGGCGAGATCGAGGTCCACTGCCGGGGCGGCCTTCCAGACGACGCACAGGTTGCCGTGGAGGTGGTGGTGCCGCCCAACAACCGCGCCGCAACCAAGTCCCTCTGCGTCTTGTTCAGCCTCCCGCCACCCTCACCCTCGCCCTTGAGCAACGGACCCGCCACCGCCACCGCCACCGCCACTCCCACCCCCACTGCCACGACAAGCTTCTCTCTTCTACCCATGAGCGAGCCGCTGCGCAAGCTTGCACACGCCATGGAAACTTATCTCTCCGGGATGCTACCGGCCTACATGGTCCCGCAGCTCTTCGTGCCCGTCTCGGCAATGCCGTGGACAAGCGCGGGCAAACTCGACCGCAGACAGCTCCGCCGGGCCATTGAGGATGCGAGTCAGGAGGCCGTGGCGCCCTACAGGTTGTCTGCTGCGGCCGCGGCCGCGAAGCGTCGCGCGCCGGCCAGCGAGATGGAGAAGAGGCTGCAGGGCCTGTGGGAGGGGGTGCTCGGGCTCCCCGCCGGCTCCGTCGGCGCCGGGGACAGCTTCTTCCGCGTCGGCGGCGACTCGCTCACGGCCATGCGGCTCGTCGGCGCGGCGCGCGCCCGCAGGATTGTGCTGTCGGTGCTGGATATCTTCGAGAAGCCCGTCCTGGCCGATATGGCGCGGGCGTGCGGCGGGCTGGAGGTCACGGTCCTCCCGGCCGAGGAGCTGAAGCCCTTCGACCTGGTGCCGTGCTCCCCGTCGGAGCTCGACGCCCTTGTGCACGAGGTTTCCGCCCAGTGTCTGCTGTTTCCCGAGCAGATCCGTGACATGTATCCCTGCAGTCCGCTACAGGAGGGCCTCGTCGCCCTCGCAAATAAGCAGACGGGCGCGTACGTGGCGGTCAACACCCTGAAGCTTCCGGAGCATGTCGACTTGGACCGCTTCAAGGCGGCTTGGCAGGAGGTTGTCGACGAGACTGACACTCTTCGCACCCGGATTGTGCATACCGCCGCGTCGGGATTCCTACAGACCGTGGTAGCGCCAGAGCCAATAGACTGGCACGATGAGCCTCTCGTGGAGGAGGCCGTCGCCAAGGGGAAGACACTCGGGTCACAGAATGGAGGCAGGCTGACCAGATACGCCATTGTCCAAGGGCAGCAGCAGCAAGGTCGAAATAATAATAATGATGGGCGCCACTTTGTCTGGGCCATCCACCATGCACTTTACGACGGATGGAGTCTGCCCCTGATTGCGAGACGAGTCCAGGACGTGTACAACACCAAGAAAAACAACAACATCTGGGGACCACAGAAGAATAATAAACCTAGTCCCCGCCCCGCATACGCAAACTTTATTCACTACCTGGGACGCAGGGATGTGGCCGCCTCGGAAAAGTTTTGGACGGATTCGATGAGCGGTGCGTCTTCGGTCACACATTTCCCGCAACCCCCACCGGTTGTTGTCAACCACAAGGAGACCCCGAGGTTTCGAGCCGAGACTCTCAACGTCAAGGTCAGCCGCAACGACATTCTCATCGATATCACTGTCCCTACCCTGATCCGCGCTGCATGGGCCATTGTCCTGGCCGCATACACGGGAATGGACCATGTTGTGTTTGGAGAGACGCTGGCGGGGCGCAACGTTGACGTGGGTGGCGTGATGGAAATGACTGGGCCGACGTTTACCACCGTCCCGACAAGGGTGCGACTGTGCCGCGACATGCGCCTTACTGAGTTCCTGCGGAACATGCATGGCATGGCCAGCCGAGTGGTTCCCCACCAGCACCTAGGGCTGCAGCACATCAAGAGGCTCAACCCAGACTGTTCAGGTGCCTGTAACTTCCAGAATCTGCTCACCATCAACACCTCCTCCTCCTCCTCCTCCTCCTCCTCCTTTTTCCGGCAACAGGAGGAGCAGCAGCAGCAGCAGAACCAGCACCTTCAGGAGGCTGATTGGAACTTCCAAGGGGGCTCCTCGGCGGAGAGCTTCTTCACCCATCCCCTCGTGCTGGAATGCAACGTCACCGACGCCGCCATCGAGGCCACCTTCCACTACGACGAGAAAGTGCTCTCGACGTGGCACACAAAGCGTCTCGCCCATCAGCTCGAAGCCGTACTGAAGCTGCTGGCTGATAGGTCCGCGAGCAAGGAAGCCACCTTGGCCGACATCCATGTCATCAGCCCCGAGGACCAGGCCCTCATTGCAAGATGGAACCGCTCCAACAACGGGCCCGGGGAGGTAGTCGACTCGTGCATCCATCATCTCTTCTTAGAACAGGCGTCTGCGCAGTCTGATTGGGTGGGTATCAGCGCCTGGGATGCCGAGTTGACGTACGGGGAGATCCGCGACCATGCCTTCCGTCTGGCGGTCCGTCTCAGTCAGCTCGGCGTCGGTCGGGGGACTCTGGTGCCCGTCTGTCTCGCCCGCTCGGCCTGGTCGGTCGTCACCCTGCTGGGCATCCTCATGGCCGGCAGCGCCTTTGTACCGCTCGACCCGGCCCACCCCTTGGCCCGGCAGAAGGAGATGCTGGAAACGATCGCGCCATCCCTCGTCATCTGCAGCCCCGAGCACGCGTCCCGCTTTGCAGATGTCGTCGGCACGCGCCTCTCGGTGGACGGCGCCACCATCCGCAATCTTCCTCCTCCACCGGCTTCTTCTTCTCTTTTGACTCGTGACTCTCCCTCCGACACCAACCCCAGCGCCAGCAGCAACACGGCCTACGTTCTTTTCACGTCGGGCAGCACGGGGCGGCCCAAGGGCGTCGTGGTAGCCCACCGCGACTTTTGCAGCAGCTCGCGCGCCTTCGCCCGCGCGACGCACATGGACGCGTCGTCCCGCGTCTTCCACTTCGCCTCGCTGACGTTCGACGCCGCCCTCATGGAGGTGCTAACGCCCCTCACCCTAGGCGCGTGCGTGTGCGTCCCGGCGGGACACGAGCGCCTCCACGACCTGGGCGGCGCCATGACCCGGCTGCGCGCGACGTGGGCCTTCCTCACGCCGTCGGTCGCCAACCTGCTTGACCCGGCGGCCGTCTGCCCCGGGCTCAAGACGCTCGTGTGCGGCGGCGAGGCCATGGTTGCCCAGACGGTGGCGCGCTGGGCCAACCGCGTCGAGCTGATGAACGGCTATGGCCCCACCGAGGCGTGCGTCCTCGCCGTCGTCAACCAGCGCGTGTCGGCGGAGCGCGACCCGGCCGTCATCGGCCGCGCGACCGCCGCGGCGCGCACATGGGTCGTGGAATTACCCAGGGATGGCCACGACGACCACGACCACGACCACGACCGCGGCCACGACTGGCTCGCGCCCGTCGGGGCCGTCGGCGAGCTGGCCATCAGCGGGCCCCTCCTGGCCCGGGGCTACCTGCAAGACCCGGACAAGACGGCGCGCGCGTTCGTCGAGAACCCGGCCTGGGCGAGGGCTTGCCCCGCGGCCGGCGGCGGCGCTGCTGCTCCTCCCCCCTCGCGCATCTACCGCACGGGCGACCTGGTGCGGTACCGGCCCGATGGAGCTCTCGAGTTCGTCGGCCGCAGGGACGGCCAGGTCAAGGTCAACGGCCAGCGGATTGAGCTGGGCGAGATTGAGAGCTGGCTGTCGGCTGACCGCCGCGTTCGCCTCGCGCTCGTGGTGCAGCCCAAGATGGGACCCTGTAAGGGGCAGCTGGTCGGCATCGTCACCTTGAAAAGCAGCAGCAGCAGTAGTAGTAGTCCCGTTGTTTCCGAAGGGGCCGGGGTCGGGGCCGGGGCCGGGGCTGCATTCATCTCGCCCGGCGACGGCGGCGATTGTAACCCTGTGGACGGTCCGCCGGAGCGGCTGGCCCAGGCCCGCACCGAGGTTGCCGAGATTCGGAGTCGCCTGGCAGACTTGCTCCCGCAGCACATGGTTCCGGCCGCGTGGATCATCCTCACGAGCCTGCCGGTCGTCGTGTCGGGCAAGCTGGACAGACAGAGAGTGGCGAGATGGGTTGAGGGCCTCGCCGACGCGACGTACGAGCACATAGCAAGCGGCCTCGGCCTCTCGGGGGACGAAGAGGAAGAGGACGAGATCCAAGTGACCGGGCCCACCAAGACGTTGAGGGAGATTTGGGCCAGGGAGCTGCACCTTCCCGTGGACCGCATCAAGTTCAATCAAGCGTTCCTTAGCCTCGGTAAGATGGCCCCGGTTTTTGGAGCGGGTGTGACCCTTTTCTTTTTTAGTTTTATTTTTATTTTCTTTCTTTCTTTTTTTGGGCGGTTGTTTCAGATCACATTAAGCTGACTTGGACGTACACAGGTGGCGATAGCATCAGGGCAATGGGGGTCGTCTCGCGGGCTCGAAACGCCAAGCTCATTGTGTCCATCCAGGACGTGCTACGGTCCAAATCCGTCGTCCATCTTGCCCAGCTCGCCAAATTGTCTCCCTCGTCTACAGCAACCGACGCGCACGGCGAGGAGGAAACTGAAGAACCGTTTGCGCTGGCCCCAATTCAGAGCATGTATCTGAAATCGGCCGTCAAGCATCATGGTGAGGCCCGTCTCAACCAGAGCTGCGCCCTGGGCGTTCCCCGACGTGTTACCGTCGACGCTATTAAGCGGGCCATGGATTCCATCGTCCAGCGTCACTCCATGCTTCGTGCGCGCTTTTCCAGGAAGCAGGATGGCAACTGGGAACAGCGAATCACAAAGGTAATTTAATTAGGAGCTTACTTTCCATTGCCCCTTTTCTGGGAATGCATTCCGCTAACAAGTGGGCTAATTATGATTAATCAGATGCGGCCTTTACTATACTGCTCTCTTGAGCACACTCTGAGCTCTCGGCATGAGATGACGCCGATCATGGCAGCAGCACAAGCCGGCCTCTGCATTGAACGCGGGCCTGTATTCAGAGTCGACCTGTTTGACCTGGCTGGTCAGGACCAGATCGTTATCTTCATGGTTGCCCACCACCTCTGCGTCGACATGGTTTCCTGGCGCATTATCGTGCAGGACCTGAGCCAGATTCTGGAGACGGGCTCCCTTGCGGTGGAGACCCCTCCGTCATTTCGGTCCTGGTGTGCTCTGCAGTCTAGCCACAACAAAACCGTCGATACGGAGACTCTCCTGCCCTTTGAAGAGGCACCGTCTGATCTGGACTACTGGGGCGCACACGGACCTCTCACATACGGCAGGACTGAGACCGAGACATTTAGTCTCAGCGAAGACATGACAAGACTCGCCCTGGTGGACTGCCATGAGGCTTTCAGCTCGGAGCCAATCGACCTCTTCCTGGCGGCCGTTGCGCACGCGTTCTCCAGGATCTTCACGGACAGAGACGTGCCGACGCTGCACACCGAGAGCCACGGCCGCGAAGCCCCGGCAGGCTCCCACATCGACCTGTCTCGCACAGTCGGTTGGTTCACAACAATATGTCCCCTGGTTATCTCAGTCCGTGCCGATGATGCCGTAGATAGCGTGCGCCGGATCAAGGACATGAGGCGCAGCATCCCAGGAAAGGGCAGACCGTATTTTGCGCACAAGTGCCTGAGCCGCGCGGCCGAGGCAGCGTCACCCGCGATGGAGGTTCTGTTCAACTATCTGGGTGAGGGAGTGCAGCATCTCGAGCACGCCGACTCGCTAATCCGCCCGGTCGAGCTCGACGACGATCAAGGCCTCGATTTTTCCAGAGTCACAGCAGACGCGGGCCCGGAGACCACGAGGCTGGCCCTCTTCGAGATTTCAGCCATCGTCGTCAACAACAGGCTGCAGTTCAGTTTCTTGTACGACGGCAGCCTGAGGCGAGCCGGCGATGTCCAGAGGTGGATCGGCGACTGCAAAAGCACACTCGAGGAGACGGTCCAGGGCCTGATGCGGCGCCCCGCCGAGCCAACACTGAGCGACTATCCGCTCCTGCCGCTGACGTACGACGACCTTCGCACGCTGACCAAGGTCGCCCTCCCGCGTGTCGGTATCGACCACGCCTCCTCCTCCCACGTAGAGGACATTTATCCGTGCACACCGGTCCAGGAGGGCATGCTGATCAGCCAGCTCCGCGACCCGAGCGCCTATATCTTCCACGCCGTCTACAGCGTCAAACACGCGAGCGACCCCCATGTCGGTTTGGATGCGGACAGACTTGGACGGGCGTGGCAAAAAGTTGTGGATCGCCATGCAGCCCTCAGGACCGTCTTCATCGAGAGCGTCCACCGCGGTGGCGTCTTCGACCAAGTTGTGCTGAACAAGGTGGACAGCGGAGTTGTCCTGCTCAGGAGCAGCGACGAGGAAGCGATGGCAAGGCTCGGCCAGGTTACCCTCCGAGGGACAGCCAACCAGGCGAAACAGCCGCAACTCCCTCATCGACTCGCCGTTTGCACGACGCATAGTGGTAGGGTGCTCATGAAGCTCGAGGTCAACCACGCCGCCATGGACGGCGGCTCGCTGTCCATCATCCTCGAGGAGCTGGCATGCGGATACGCGGGCACTCTCGACAGTGCTCCTGGTCCTATGTATCGGGACTACGTCCAATACATCTGCAGCCGGCCGGCCCGGGCGGACACCGAGTACTGGATGCGTTATCTGGACGGTCTAAAACCGTGTTACTTTCCGAAACTAAACACCAACACCAGCATCAGCACCAGCACTAGCACCGCCGCCGCCACCGACACGAGGCGCCTACGATCCGCCGCGCTCCAGTTTGACCGCTACTCCGAGCTCCGGCGGCTCTCTGAGCGAATGCACGTCACCCTCGCCAACATGATGCACGCGGCATGGGCCTTCGTGCTGCGCAAGCACACCGGGTCTGACGACGTCTGCTTCGGGTATCTGACGGCAGATCGCGACGCGCCGGTCGAGAACATCCGCGGCGTTGTGGGGACGCTCATCAACATGCTCTGCTGCCGCGTCCAGATCTCCAGCTCGCAAACGCTTGAGGACGTCTTCCGGACGGCCCAGGACCAGCACCTCCAGAGCATGCCGTTCCAGCGCTGCTCACTGGCACGGGTGCAGCACGAGCTTGGGCTGGCGGGCAAGTCTCTCTACAACACCTCAATCTCGACGCAGAGTCATTCTCTTGGGGGCGGGGAGAGCGGGGGAGGAGGTAATACCATCGCGTTCGAGATGGAAGAGGGCGATGATCCTAGTGAGGTAAGTTGGGCTATTGTTGAGGAAGGGGGGAGGAATGTATCAACAACTTTTTGCTAACCAAAAGGATGACTGGCAGTACGCCATCACGGTCAACATTGAAGCTTCAAAGGCCAGCGAGGGTGTTGTGTTCCGATACTGGTCCGATCATGTCAGCGATGACCAAGCCCAAGAGATGGCCCGCTGCATGGCTCAGGTCTTGGACGGCTTCATCAACCGACCCGCACAGTCCGTTGCGGAACTCGACTTCGAACTCGACAGGAAGCCAACAACTAAATCGCCTAGTGAATGCCGAGCCGAAGCTGCCGGCGCTGCCGAGGCAACAAAGGGCCGAGTGAGTGAGGAACCGCTTGCTGGCCCAGGGACTCCAAGGAGCATAGGTAAATCATCTTCGGTCGCTTCTTCTTCTTCTGAGAATTCCGTCGATACGCTCTTCAAGAAGCCGTCGCCGACCGCACAGGTCAACACGCGGGCCGCCCAGAGCTCCCGCGAAAAGACACTCCTTGCCTTGTGGAGCGCTCTGCTAAACCTGCCCGATGACTCCATCAGCGGGCAGGACAGCTTTTTCCACCTCGGTGGCGACAGCATCGCGGCGATGAAGCTCGTTGGCGACGCCCGGGACCAAGGCCTGGCACTCACCGTTGCAGATGTGTTCCGCCATCCATCCTTCGACGACATGGCAGCGAGAGTTCGCGCCCCGGATATGGATGCCTCGGATGAACTTGCGAACGGGAACAAACCTACTATCACAAAGCTGGCAGCCAAGCACGATCCTTACGAGCGATTCTCGCTCCTCGCAGCAGCAAACGTCGATGCGTTCCTCCAAACCAGCATCGTCCCGCAAGTTTGTGTTTTCAGGGGCGGGCTCTCGGACGTGCTCCCTGCGACAGACTTCCAATCCCTGGCCGTCGCAGGCGCCCTTCTCAAGTCCCGTTGGATGCTGAACTACTTCTACCTCGACGGCGACGGGCCGCTGAACCTCGGCCATCTCAAGCGCACGTGCTTCCGGCTCGTCCAGGCGCTGGACATCCTGCGCACCGTGTTCGTGCCCTCGGGGGGCCGGTTCCTGCAGGTGGTTCTGCGTACGCTTCGGCCCGCATTCCATGTCGTCGAGGTCGACGATGAGTCGCTGGACGACTTCACGACGGGCCTGCTGAAGCGCGACCGCGGCGGAGGAGGAGGAGGAGGAGGAGGAGGAGCGGGAGAGGGAGGGCCCAGCCCCCGGCTCGGCGAGCCATTTGTCGAGTTCACAGTGGTTAGGCATCGGCACAGCAGCCGCCACAGGATTCTCCTACGCATATCACACGCGCAGTACGACGGGGTGTGCTTCCCTAAGATGCTGGACGCACTCCAAGCCGCGTACCGGGGCGAGACGGTCCCCCGTCCGCCCTCGTTCGCTAACTATCTGCGTGCTTCGGCAGTGGCGCTGACGTCGGACCACTATCAGCACTGGAATAGGCTACTCGAGGGGTCGTCCATGACGGAGATCGTGCGTCGCAAGGGGCCAAACTACCGCACGACCGTCGCAGGGGCAACAACCACCACTCTCAAGAGGACGGTCCACCTGCCGCCTGTAGAGTCTGGCCACATCACCACCGCCACCATGGTCAAAGCGGCGTGGGCCTACGTTCTAGCGCAGGTCTCGGCCAGCGCGGACGTCGTCTTCGGGCACACCATCAGCGGGCGCAACGCCGCCGTCGAGGGCGTCGGGAACATGATGGGGCCTTGCCTCAACCTGTTGCCGGTGCGCGTGCAATTCGGCGGGCCGGGCTGGACGGCCAGGCACCTCCTCCACCAGGTCCAGGACCAGCAGCTCGCCAACATGCCGCACGAGGTGCTGGGCTTCCGCGAGATCATCCGCCACTGCACCACCTGGCCCGGCTGGACCTACTTCACGTCGACGGTCCAGCACCAGAACGTGCACCAGAGCACTGTGGTGCGCCTCGGCGACGTCGACTACCAGGTCGGGTGTGCGTCGACGGCGCACGAAGACTTTGCCGACCTGTCCGTCTTCTCGCAGCAGCACCGGCAGGCGTGCGACGGAACCGACGGCGGAACAGACGACATGTACGAGATCATGGTCAGCTTCGCCGAGGGCGGCGCCATCCCGCACGACTTTGCCGAGCGCGCGCTCGACATGCTATGCGACGCGGCGCGCATTTTCGCCGCCGACCCGGACGTGGCGCTGCCCTCCCAGGCCGAACTTTTCCGCAGGCCCCGGCAGGTGCCGTTCGATGAGGTGTCATCAGCCGCTCCTTCCTCCTCCTCCTCCTCCTCCTCCGATAATGCCTTCCAGGCCTCCTCCCATCTCCAGCACCTCGGCCGCGCCCAGCTACTTGACCTCCACACGCTGGTCAGCACGGCCTGGCGACAGGTACTGGCGCTCCCAGGTCAACAAATTAAAATCAAAGCCAAGGAGACAGAGGCCAGCGCTGCCGCTGCTGCCCACAACACGTCGTCGGCTGGCGGCCTCGATCCCGACACGTCCTTCTTCGCCCTCGGCGGCGACATCATCGGCCTCGCCCAAGTGGCCTGGTTGCTGGACCAGGGGGGGTTTCCCGTGCCGCACCTGGAAGACCTGGTCGATCATCCCACCGTGCGTGGGCACATGGCCGTGCTTGCGTCATCCACCTGCGGCGGCGGAGCGGGCGCCAGAGGGATCGCTTCTGCTGCTTCTGCTGCTGCTGCTGTTGTCTCTGCCGCAGCATCACCTTTGGAGATAGAAGAAGATGCTGCTGTTCCGGTGGTGCGGAGGATAAGCAGGGTGGACTCCTCCCTGGCAAAGGCGGTGCGTCTGGCCAAGAGGTTCACAAAGCGAAAACATGAACCTCGCTGTGAGGTTAATGCGCCAGCGGCGGCGTAACTCGAGGTGGTGGCTGATGCATGTGAATCTGTAGCGCGTTGGAGGGGTTAGCGGGTGACAGGACTGCGAATGGCAAGTAGATAGGTTAGCAATTAGAACAAGCAGTGGAGAAAGACTCTGACAAGGGGGCGAGGAAATGTTGATCTTAGTAACAAGTTTGCGAGCTGTTGAAGCTGGAGTCCATTTTGCTACATATGCGATGAAAACCAACTCATGTTACCGCCAAGCCCAACCCTCAGGTGCCAAAGCCATGTGTTGTCCTTTGCCGTTATATCCTTTTGTCTGAGACAAGTTGACCCTGTCGTTTGAAGCGTCTCGTACTCTCTTCTCCCATGTCGTTGTGAGTTTGGTGTTGTAGTGTACCCATAACTGAGGGAGAAATTGGACATCTTGGACGCAGTAGGACCTGATCTCCTCGGAGAGGGGATGCTCATTGAACACTTGATAGCTCCCACCTCGTTCAGGTGCGAAGAGCTTGACACCCTGTTCCTTGACTCTTTTCCAAGCAATTGACTGGCTCATACTGAGGACAGCATCCCTTTCAATACACTTTGACAGGCCATTGACATGCTTCTTGGAAAAGCCTCTCGTTGCAAGTTCCATCAGCTGAAGATCCTGTACACCGGCCAGATTGATCTGGAAGTGGTGATACAACGCATCTGAATCGTTGCGGACGTCGAAAAAGACCTTTGGAGTAGCCTCGGATTCCAGGAATTCTCTGAGAGTGCGCCCCTTCGTTCCAGGAGTGGAGAAAGCCTTCGCACCGAGGGTGTGAATGTCAATGAGGTAGATGCAACGCTTTGGCAAAACGAAGAGTTGAAGAATGGACACACTCCCGTGTCTGGAAAGATTGACTCCTTCGATGTCGATGTAGAGCGATGGCGGTGTCGTTGGGAGTCCATCAAGGCTGTCCACCATGGTGGCCATGTCCGTAGACGTGTCAACCAGCTTAGAGCTGAGACTGTTGCCGAGGGTGATGTCTTCCAGACCCCTTGTCACAGACAACAAGTCTTGCTCATCGCTTCGTCCTTCGATGGTCATGATCAATAAATGCGAATATTAGAGGTGATTATGCGGTGTTGGTGATTGATTGAGATGATGGTGGTGGTGGTGTTGGATGTAGAGATGGAATTTCCGCGTGTCGTGTCTCGACTGGAGACTTGGTTTTAATGGCTGGGCAATAAGGTTTACAGTGTGACTTACCGGGTTCACGGCGCGACTCATCGGCGAGTTAAACTAAGTTTGAGTTGGGTTTGATCTTGAGTTTGAGCTTCCACATACCACGGTCCACATCGGAATTGAGAGTTTGATAAGGTTGCTGAGATCTAACTAGGCAGAAGCGAATACTTATGCTAGTTCGTCTTCGGATTTTACTCCTCGAGCTAGACTCATCCAAATCTCTTTGATATACATTACGGCGGAATGGATTGGCAGAATAGATCGGCCTTGACGGCCTTGCTTGACAGCCTCAAGGCGTTTTGTTTTCTCTCATTTCAAACTCTAGGACAGTTTCACGAAGTAACGCTGGAAGAGATTCCAAATGCTTCGGACTGACTTTTACTACGGGAGATTACGGTGAAAGTCATTCCGCTAGGAATCACGCTGCTTATTGGATCAGTCAGTTTGAGTTGCAAACACGTTGCTAGTTTTAGACATTGGTTTAGACCGAAACTCTAAGCGCGGTCGACCCTTCACTCAGTCCGCGAGGATCCACTATGGTTCTAAGCTGCACTCTGATACGCTGACATTGCCAATCAGGACTGGCATGAAAGCCACTCAATGCTGGGAATGGCGAGATTTACGCTTTTAACCACCTTGCCACCCGAAGTGTACTCTAGCTAATTGGTATACTGGCTCGAATACGCTTGCGTCTCGCAAACCAAATATGGGCAAAGGGGCGACTGGCAAGCACAACATTAAAACACTATGGATACAGGTCATATTTAGCGCGGTGTGGCAACCACGGAAGAGTCAGGCATTGTTAGCAGATCAGAAGGCTATGCAGCTATATCGATAAGTATCGTCACCGCGGCGTTCTCAGCCTATTCCTCGACACCGGGGAGGATTGGCGGTGGCGTAAGGGGCATGATCAGGCATGCCTAGTTTGTGGCAAGCTCCACACAGAGGCATGGCCACCAGGTTCGGTGTTCTTGTCTAAGGCATCGCCAGACAAAGCTAAAATGCGACAGCTGCTTACACAAGGAGGGGGGAGGGGTTGTGATGAAAATAGGATGGCAAGGACAAGTTGCGGCACTACTAGTCGGACTCGGAGGATATGGTTGATGTTTCTCTGTACTGCCAGGCCGCCGACGGCTGCGACTTTGGGTGCGCAGCGGACAAATGCGGGTGGGAATGGCGCTGGATCCGGGCGAAGGACGAAGCTATGGATCCATTAGTTTGCTGCCGATGAATTAGCATTATTACTAGGCATAAGGTATCTGCAACCTGGCTAACCTTAATAGCCGGAGAAGGCGAGTTAGAGGGAATAAGCTCATTACCAATTAAAGCAAATTGATTCAACTAGCAAGATCCTCATCCCTCGGCACTGGATCTTCTTAGATCGGCAGCGTTATCTCTCATTGCTGTTCCTTGTCCTTGTCGCCATCCCTTGTCGCCTCCCTTAGTCCTTCATGGATGTAACTTCGTCCTTCGTCGCCCTCAACCTTCAATGCAAAAAACTTGATGCTAGCAACCCTTCAGCGCCAGTAACCTTGATTACCTTACCGACAATCGTCTTGCTATCTCCTTAGCACCGTACCGACCGCCTTAGTCGTCAAACCTTTAGACTGAAAAACAAAGCCTGCGACTCCCCTTTCCGTCCTTTCACTGCGCCTTCGAACAAATAGCTTTCCTCGCCATCCGATTGCCTCGCCAGTAACCCTTTTTCTCTCCACTAAACTTATTGGGAGTTCTTAATTAATGTCTTCAAGTGGAGGGGTGTTCTATACTTTTAAATTTTTTACTAAATCAAGTTTAGAAACCCTGATGAACTCTTACATACCAAGAGCATTTTGCTTGAACCAAGGCCAATATACATGCTCTGCCCACGCTGCAAGTCGCTGCAATCCCCAAACAATACTATACACTCCCAAGGCATTTGTTGTCGATCCAAAGTTCCGTTCTAACCAAAGGACCGTCTTTTGCCCCTCTCGTGTCGTGGCTGCAAAGCTCCACTCATGGCCACGGACAATAATGGCTGGTAGAAAGGGCAGAGTGTCCAAGTCACCGCCAGCGTCGGAGACAAGGCGAGAGAGAAACTTCCACTGAGCAGCGTGCCAAATGCCGATTTGGAGGTCCGCCTCCTGCTGCTCGCCGCCGCCGCGCCTCTTCGTCTCAATGCTGAGTGCAATTGGGCGGTTTCGGAGAGGCGGGAAGTCAGTGTGGTTGATCACGTTGCATGGTAGGACACGGCGCAGGGATTGTATCGCTTGTAGAGCGGCCGTGTTGGCTGCCGAGATAGGGGCCGAATCTGGAGCAAGGAAGAGACTGAAGTCAACCATTTTGGTCGGAGACGCGGAAGGAAGATACTGGTTGATGATCTTGGCCGTTGTGCTAAGGAGAGGGAGGGGTTTAGTGAACGCAAAATGCCATGAGAACATTGAACATACCACGGGGCTGTCCCAACCAATTGTTTCCGGCGCTGGCAGCCGTAGATGGCTTTTTGCAGCAGTGGGAAGTGGACTGCCATATTCCAACCTGACTCGGACTGTATTGTGTCCTGGCACTCTCGCGCTTCCTCCAATATCCATTGCACGTCGGGGACAGTTGGGGTGGTGCCAAATCGATCGCGGGCTTCGGGGATGCCAAACATGAAGTCCCGAAAAACAGCGAAGGATCGGTCGGTTGAAGCTTGGGCGTCAATCTCGTCCTGTTTCCGAATCGCATTAGTTATGCAAGATCTTGTCTTGAGAAAACAAAGAACGGAAGACGAACCTTGCGAGATCGCGACACCACACCCGCACCCGTGCTGCAGACCTCCATCTCGGAGAGTAGATCGGCTAAGGCGTTAGGCAGGTCCGGGTTTGTTAGCGAGAGTGTACGCGATTCGAGCCCATCCAAGTTCAGCTCCATGGCGGCCATTCTCTTGGTTGGCGATGACCTCCCAGATGTTCTGCTGGAGGCCTGGGACTGCGAGTCGGACTGGGAAGAGACAGAGATGATAGAGACTGCCTGGGTGGAATGGTTTCGTTGCAGTCCCTGATGTCGTTTGGTGGGCGAAGTTGACCATCGGGTTTCATCTTGTAGAGACCTCGAGTTCTCGCTCGCCCTCGGCGTCTGCTGCTGATCCTCCTCGTCATAGTTATTCCCCTCAAGTCCAAGCCTCCGCCTCTTAGAAGTAGGTATATCGCTTTCGGACATGTAATGAGGCTTCGGCGCAGATGTCTCGATGCGCTCGGATGAGGGCGGGGAAAGAGGTTGGCTACAGTCGCGGTGACGTTTGGGAACTCGATTTGCGTGTGACGGCGACGGGGAATCGGGTTGGAAATCAACGTGCGATAACCAATCAAGAATGTCGGTGTGCGGTTTCATGGCACTTGCAATAGCAATGATGAGATCGGTAGGTGTTTGAGGGTATTGTTCATCGCCAATGTTTTGTTTATGTTTGGTTGTCCATTGTTTACCTCCCCTCTTTTTCGACTTCTCGGTCCTTATATTTCTCCGGACCGCGCTGCACGTGACTAGTCATCTGATTGGATGCCGCCATCCTTACCTCTCAAATTTGTGGGCCTGGTTAGTGCAGTACCTGCGTCACAATGCTAAAAGGATGCAAATGATGACATCTGAAGTTTTAAATCATCTTGTGACTCATAGAATAGCTAAAACGATTGAAGGATATCCATTAGAATCAATGAGGAAAGGAGCGACATGTAGTTGTGTAGATAATTTGACCTAGGTAGAATTAAACACAGCGTGTTTCAAGGGAGCAGCGCTTCACTAGGCACGTGACAATATCTTCCCTACCCGTTATTCATACTATGCTCAAGCTAGGCCCACTTATCTCCATATAGCGGGGCCGCTGCATGTAGATTCTAGCTTCAATTATGGCTTTCATGCTTCTGTTGTCCATGTGCCGTTGCACGTGCCATAACCTTTTTGCCCCTTTCCATGCAGCTATGGCGGAGATACTCGGCCGCATGGTTGCCTCGAGCCATTTTGTGCAGCGCTTATATGTAGGTTATCCGCAATCTCTTGTCAGATCCTGCAAGTCCTTTCCCCTCAATTCCAATACATAAATTTGAGCATTTTTTAAATCATTTCACATCTTCAGCCAGCCACCACCATGTCCATGACATTACCAATGCGGATGATGGATGGAATGTCCACTTCCTTGCCACGCCTAGCGCTGTTCATTTTGCTAGCCTGTTACAGCTCGACGGCAGCAACATAGTTAGCTTCCGCGACGTTGCGCCTTTGCTTCGACCTTCCGGGCGTTGGAGGTGGCATTGACTCTGACAATGATAACTCAGACTCTGACCCTTGAAGTAATATCGGGTTCTTCTTTGCGGGCGTTGTCAATCCACCTCCCGGAGACACAAGTGTATTCGAGTATCCCACCTTTGTGCACCAAGATCTTGACCAATCAGTTCCCACTCCTCCACCAACTGCATCGACAGACCAGGAGGAACGCCCTATCCTGCGCTTCCACACCGTCCGGCACACGTCTTGCAGTCTACCTCCCAGCGCATCGCTAGCATCTCATATTCAAGGTTTGTCCTTTCTCAAGCATATGCCTTGCTCCGATAACCCCTTCTGTCTCTAGCTAGCTGTGCGCAGCACATCCCTCAACCCATCCGCCGCCGAGATCCGCGATATGTCCCTCCAAAGAAGACCTCGTGCAACCCCCTAATTTCCCACCTCCCGTTCCGAAGAACCGTGCTAGCACGCGGCGGCTCCCAGTCCCCCTCCCATCACTCCGCGTCCGGCTTTGTGTCGCTGAAGAAGAACATATGGGCCGACGACAACGACGCGAATGAAGAGGAGGACTTTACCAACATGATCGCACCACCAGACACGAACATTGCGCCCGACTTAGCTCGGCAAACCATCGCCGCCTTCCGCTCGTCCTGCCTCGTCGCGGCCCGCCAGTGCGCCGTGTCAGGCAAAGGCCAGTCGTGGTGCAGCAACCCAGCCGCCGGTCCGGCCCTACAGACGTGTCATATCATTCCACAGGAGCACTACCACCTCTATCCCGACGTCGACACTGAAGACGACGACAACAACATCGAGTACGGCCTCTGCCGCCTGCGGACTGCATGGCAGCGCACCTGGTCAGCAGACAACAGCATCCTCCTGCTCAGCCACCTACACGAGCTCTTCGACGCGCGCCTGTTCTCCATCCACCCAGACACTTTCCAGGTGCGCGCCTTCGTGCCGTACGACGTCGTCTGCGAATACCACGGTCGCAAGGCCCGGCTGCCAGTCAGCGTCGACCAGGCTGTGCTGCGTCACCATTACGAGATGTGTTGCATCGAGAACATAGGCGCCAAGATGCCACTAATGGAGCCCGCTTCGGTGACTAATGCGGGGATGGGTTCCTTGGGCATAACATCGCTGTTTATGAGTAAGGCGATAGCTTTTACTAGGTTTGGCTTAACTCCTAGCTAACCAGGGGCTGACAAAGAGCTAGCATAAGGTAGTTGCGTTAGTAACTATTCTAAACAACCCTAGCCTAAACATTATTAGACAGGTTGTTTAGCTTAAACAACCGCAGGTCTCTATAGAAAGGAGAGCTATGCATTGGCGTAGGGTTAGGGTTAGGGTTAGGGTTAGGGTTAGGGTTAGGGTTAGGGTTAGGGTTAGGGTTAGGGTTAGGGTTAGGGTTAGGGTTAGGGTTAGG